TACTCCAGCTAAAATTCTATCATCATACGAAGACGCTTGCAAGACCTACGAACTTACATGGAGAATGCGAGACGAAAGTGAGAAGTCCAGCGAACAATTTCGCCAAAATGGACCCTCCTCGTAAGATTTAATTCAAGACTCTTGGCCGTACGACGAACGGTCAGAGTCTTTGGATAGGTACCCAGCTGCCTTCTGGTATCCTGGTTTCGACTTAGGTATAATCTAGCCGGAGATGTGGACATGAAGCACGCGACAAATCCAACGCAAGATTCTCTCTTCTCTAATTAAGTAGTCCGCAAGCTAGTATGGTCAAACTTTACGTCCCCATAATGGAGTGACTGCTCTGAGGAATATATCATCGGTGTTTAACACGACTGAAGACCCATCTCACCGACTAATAGCGGCTAGCATTCGCAGATTGGCCGCCACCTACTGTCATTTTGTTTGAACTGCACGGAAATGCGGATGTAGGGCGGAACAACTAAGGGGTCAGCTCTCCCATTTACTTGAAGACCTGGCGTGAAACAATGCTGACGACATATTGCATGCTTTTCTGCTGAGAAGACTCCATCTGCGACGCGGCCGCGAGTCAAAAGTTAACGCTGTTGGCGGCGGAATAGTCGCCGCCAATACCTCAAGCAGCAGTGCTGCCTTCCAGAAACCTTTGGCTGGTGAAATTCAGGCGGTTTTGTTGCACCCAACTCCCAAGTCGGAAGGCCGGGGGATTGTCCTATGGCGGTACTGGCGGACCGCCAGTGGTCCCACCAGAGGCGGTATTAGCGGTCAGCTACTCCCGCCGCTAACACGAACATGGAAATATGCATACCGATAAGGCTAGTGGCTCCACAAGGTTGTTTTGATTGCGCATATAACTGGTGGTTCAGCCAGGCTCCTTCATCCTCGGCCATGGTTGAACACGTCCCAGAAAATTATGTGGGGCTTCACGAACAAAGGTATGCGACTCGACTACCCTCAGCGGACAATGAGGATTAGTGTTGCACTAATGTACTTTTTAAGACCGGCCCGTTACACCTGTTCAATACGCACTATCTCGAACATGCTCGGCGCGTCACACACCCAAGCTGTTCTACCCCGTGGGGTCTGAAAAATGCACCTGGTATCAATTTCACCTTACTTTGGAGGCAGACACGTCTCGTATCGTATACATATAATGCAATTTCTATCCCGTCGAAGCTCATGACTGTGTTTTAATTCTCGTTCCCAACTCATCGCCCCAAGAGCCTCATCACTCTACTTGAAGACTTGAGTTCATCTTTTTTACCCATACGCAAGCATGGCTGAGAAAGTTCCATCTGAAAAGGTGGAGTACGCCTCTCACGACGAAGTCGGAGATACCACCACAGCAAAGCACATTGCTGCCGACACTATCAGGGAGAACAGCACGGCCAGGTACAAAGACGCGGTGATGCTACCCTAGCACTCAAATTAAGCTGACCGGTATACATAGACTTGTCAACCCTCTGGCAGGAATTCGCAAAGAAGATCTGATGCGGCAAGTGGAACGCTTTGCTACCGATAAGGATCTCCTCGACATCCTTCCCCTCCTGCGGAAGGGCGCATATGTTGCCCAAGCGGCCGTGCCGCTGGCAGAAGTTGAAGAGCTCGATCCTGGCGAATTCGACGCTCTCGAACACGAAGTGAAACACAGATGGACCCATCCCTTTGCTCTCTATGCCACAGTGTTTGTCTGCTCAATTGGAGCGGCCGTACAGTACGTCTTTGCAGAATCGTCAGTTGGGTAAAATCAAACACGCTGATGCACTAAGGGGCTGGGATCAAACGGGATCAAACGGCGCCAACCTGACGTTCCCAGTTGAGTTCAGCATTGCCTCTGGCTCCAGCAGGGACAATTGGCTGATCGGTCTGGTCAACGCCGCTCCCTATATATCTTCTGCGATCCTGTAAGTTGGACGCATTCATGTACAATGGAGCATGCTAACGACGTGAAGCGGATGCTGGCTGTCTGATCCGGTCAATGCTCTTCTTGGTCGCCGTGGGGCGACTTTCCTGGCCGCAATTTTCTGCATCTTTACACCGATCGGTGGCGCAGTGTCTCAAGACTGGCATCAACTACTCGTCACAAGGCTTCTCATGGGTTTTGGGATGGGCCTCAAAGGTATATATATCTGGTGGACTTTGAGCCCTCAAATATGGGTTATACTGACTCTTTTTCGGGTAGCTGCGACGATTCCTATGTACGCTGCAGAGAACTCTCCGGCTGTTATTCGAGGTGCCCTAGTCATGGGTTGGCAAATGTGGACGGCATTTGGCATTTTCCTCGGGTTCGCCGCTAATCTCGTTGTCTATCGGGTTGGAAGAATCGCGTGGAGACTTCAGGTTGGGTCTGCTTTTATACCCGCAGTGCCACTCGCGCTTCTCGTCTACTTTTGCCCAGGTATGGCTATCCTGGTGAACGAGCGCTCATCCGCCACACTATCTGCTAACGGCGGTCTTCAGAATCCCCACGGTGGTTAATGAAAAAGAATCGCTATAAGAAGGCTTTTGAGTCTCTCTGTCGCTTACGGAAACACAGAATCCAAGCTGCACGCGACCTCTACTATGTCCATGCTCAGCTGGTCATAGAACATGAGATAGCAGCCGGATCGACCTATATTACTAGACTTCGCGAACTCGTCACTATCCCTCGCATTCGCAGAAGCGCTGTAGCAGCCTTGGTTGTATTCATGGGCCAACAGTTCTGCGGTAAGTTGCAGTTTCACGTTTCAAGCTGCAAAATTTTCAGTGTCTGACGCGACTACCTATTTCTTTTTCACAGGGATGAACATCATCGCCTTTTACTCGTCGACTGTCTTTGTCCAAGCAGGGGCCTCTGAACACACCGCGTTGCTTACTTCGTTGGGATATGGTATCATCAATTTCGCTTTCGCTATACCGGCAATCTTTCTCATTGATAGGTTTGGTCGGAGGTAGGAGCCATAATTTTTGCGACTGAGACATTCAATTGACTCTGGACCTAGATCTCTGCTTCTCTCGACCTTCCCACACATGGCCTGGACGCTACTTGCAGCAGGCTTCTGCTTTTACATTCCCGAATCCAGCAAGGCACACGTTGGCATGATTGCCTTCTTCGTCTACGTGTTCACCGCTCTGTACTCGGTGGGTCAAGGTAATATTACCCGCTCCATTGGCGTCTCAGTCCGCATACAATAATCAATTTCTAATGGCGATTACCGTAGGTCCCGTCGCTTTCGTGTACTCTGCCGAAGCTTTTCCTCTCTCGCATAGAGAGATCGGCAACAGTTGGGCGGTTTCAGGGACATTCGCGTTGTCCTCGGCTCTATCATTGACGTTCCCATTGATGCTCAGCAAATTTACAGCGACAGGTGCATTTGGTTTCTACGCGTAAGCTCCACCTCTCTGACGTCCTCAACGGCTATACTGTGCTAAAGATGGTTATCCCCAGGGCCATGAATTTGTTCGTCTTCATCTTGATGTTCCTCTTCGTCCCTGACACCAGCGGCTATACATTGGAAGAACTCGACTACGTCTTTGCAGTGCCAACGAGACGATTCATCAGCTATCAACTCAGGAAGGTGTGTGCATCCCACCAGCTGAGCACGCAGCTCTAACCCTGATACGGTCTAGGTACTGCCATGGGCCTTGAGGCGATATCTTCTCTTTAGACGTGGGGAGCGCTTGGAAGCGTTGTATCACTTTGAGCGCAGCGATCAACAGGGATCAGAATCCCACGTTGAAGAGGGGCAGACTCGAGTTCAAAAATAGGTAAATACATCCTGCATCCAATGTAGCCAGGGAGTACATGTAGTACTCGACAACAATGAAGTTGCCACAGTGTTAAATAGCTGCCGAAATAGGCGACGGACAGAGCGTCGCTACTTCCATCAGCAAACGAAATGTTCAGCATAATTGAAGATCTCTGTCCATCTATATAATAGTAAACGACCTTTATTTAACTGCTAACACTGTCTTTGCCGCGTCACTCAACCTCAAACTCGATTCAGGTAGGTTTGAGGCTATCACGCAAGCGTACAGTACAAGTTACAAGCTTCGATGTACTTAGAGTTCTTCACGATCTCTGCGGTGGTCTGTAGGATAGAGCGGTGAAGTAGAGATATATTGCCTGGTACTGGCTCGCACGAGTCGTTCTCGTGTGTCTGGGACAACATATCTGAATCCACTCCTCGTCAAATCCAAGACCGCTTTTGATCCCATTGTGCCGAAACTGTTGTTGCGGGTCTGTTGGCAAACCCGGTCATGTCCGGGAGAGAGGACAAGCCGACATCAGTTCTGTGAAGTGGATATAGCAAGCAACTCCCAAACACCTCCGGAGATTCTACGGAATTTCCGCCTAGCAAAACACGCTCGGAAACTTCTGTGCCGGCCGGTTAACTGGGAAGTAGAGGCAAAAGGCGGAACCGATTCAAGCAAGGCATGCATGTTCGTGTTCGCACACCTCTTTATCTAATATTGGACTCTGGCTGACATACGAGTTAGCAGCAACAGACGTAAATGTCTTTTTTGGGGGGCTTCTTTCATTTCCGGATGTCTCCTTATTGAAATCACAACGCATAAACGTCGCGACTGTTTTGCTTCTACCCAAATGGCTCGTTCGAAGATGTTTCACGAGTTGCCGCTTCGGAAAGATCTCGTCCCTAGCAAGGGACAGCCGCATGGGCCGGCCTGGATCTGGGGTGAGGATGACGAGGTGTGAAGGGGAAAAAGATCCCCAGCTTGCACGAAATCGAGGTACAGTACATATGTACTAATTCAGATCTCCGCAAGTTTAGCTCGAGCGGCTCCACCTCCTTAATCCTGAAAGGGTCTTGAATGCAATGAAGGAGGCGACGCAGGGACGAGTCGTGAATCTCAGGTACGTCTTGTGGTTTACCACCGACTACTGAGCGAAACCTCCATCTGCCCCATTCCTGCAAGCGCTTGTTGACTGGTGGCAATCCGGATTACTCTACAGTCTCCCCTTGGATCAGCCCTCCACCCCGATGTACGGCCGGGACGCGTTTCAACACAAACTCATGCAGGTCGCGCCTCATGCCTTTGGCGAAGTCTACGTGGTAAATCCGCAGTCAAGCTCCCAGCGGGACGGGTTTCTTCAAGTGAGCCTCCAAGCCCAGCTGATATCTCAAGCCTACATACGTTTACTCAGTTGATACACTCTAAATCCAGCTCAGTCAGATAATGGGCGTCTGCCACGTCCCGTCCGGATTCTTTTATAACCAAGTGAGCCACCGGAAACTCGAGGAGTTAGAAGTGTGGGGGGAGATTGATTGCCATGTCCGCAACATTCTTTACCATGTCATTAATGAGAATAGGTCTCCGCTAGTGATATTGGCAAAGATGGCCCGAAGCTCGGTGCACTGGCGTAAGCTACGCATCGCAGGCCGCGGCCTCCTGCTCGACTTCGGCAGGTACGCCAAGGCACACGACCTTCGAGTCAGCTACTTTGACTACTACAAGATTTCATATCCGACCTTGGTCGCGGTGGCAGCGAGTCAGGGGATCAACCTGAAACCCGAGAGCTAGGGCGGAGACGTCGGCATCGGGGACATACTCCTTGTCCGCACGGGGTTCTTGGAACACGAGGCGTAGTTGTCTGAGGAGAAGGCGAAGATGCATCTACGAAGGCACGAATTCTCCCCTGACGACGGACAGCGCTACATAGGCCTCCAACAGAGCAAGGAAATGCTCGACTTCCTGCACAACTCGTACTTTGCTGCCGTGGCTGGAGACCAGCCGGGGTTCGAGGCCATCCCATCGGATGCTGGTACGTGGCCCGCCATGATCCTTTTCAGTCATCCCATCCCACAACAAACGTTTGTTATATGCGCAAAAAGAAAGAGCCTCCACAAACTGACAGGTGCAATTCGGGAAAAAAAAGGTTTTCTACCTGGACGAACACCTCTTAGTTCTTGGGGGCTGCCCCGTTAGTGAACTCTGGGACCTTGACACCCTTGCAGCCTGCTGTGCGACAAACAACAAGTGGACATTTCTCATTGCGAGTGCTCCTAAAAACGCCAAGGGTAGGTCTTATCCCAATTTATCTAGTGCGATCTTGACTGACATATATGTACTCAAGGCGGGGTGGGGAGCATGGCCAATGCTATCGCGATACTGTGAGGAAAGAAGTAGAGTTTCGTGGCTTTCATGAACGAAGCGGAAGAGTAACATCAACACCTGAATGCCAATGAAATTCCAGGTGCGCTTCTCTCCCTGCGTAGGCTGAGCCTGAGCCTACGGTCAACTACATGAACGTCGGTAACGGGGACGGCGGAATTACTTAACCCTCTTTGATACGAGCCTCCCTGGCGCTGCTATTTCCGTGGAAAATTTCACTAGTCTAGAAGCGTACACCAACCAGCCTATGAAACTCCTCCACATGCAAAATTGTGCCGGCTTTGTCTTTGGTAATATAGTTAGGGACACCAGTGAGTTCCTCTAAACGACCTTCACAAGTTATGTGTCATTGACCGTCGAACTTGCTGTCGAGCGAGACTGGGATATTTCACCAGCCCGTATATCCTCCGTCGACAAGCAGATCTGCGCCCGTCACATATGAGCTGGCATCAGAGAGGAGGAAGACGATGGGTCCTCGGTAATCTTCAGGCGCGGAGAGTCGTTTCAGCATGGTCTCTTCGGTCCACAGCTGTTCGAAGTTGCCATTGGAGAGGACGCTCGCGGTCATCGGGGTGCGGATGACGCCAGGGCTGACCGAGTTTACTCGTATCGAGGGCCCATCTTCCGAATGTCCCCATTCTGACGCCAGGTTCCGCGTGAGCTGGTGCACTCCCGCTTTGGAGGCGGCGTATGCTGCATTGGGCGTGCCCTGCAAGAGAAAACACCAGAAGAGACGGTCAGCCCCAGTTCGTCTGTCGGTCGCAGCGACAAGAGGGTCGCCGGCTGAAATACTACCTACCTTGTTGACGACGTAGCCACTCATGCTCGCAATAAAAACAAAACTAGCAGAAAAGTTATGTTTCTTGACCAGCTGGGCAGCAGCTTGTGCGCCTATCAATGTTCCAATGAGGTTGACCTCGATGATCCGTTTCGCATCGTCCACAGGAAAACTAATGGACGGTCCAACCCAGCCGATAGCGGCACAATTGACCAATCCTCGTAGGGGATATCGAGCAGAGGACACCGCGACCTCAAAGACAGCGGAGGCAGATTCTAATTTCGATATGTCGCACTGATAGTAGTCCACTATTGTCCCACTCCTCTCTGCAGTTCGTTGAAGTTCTTCTATTCAGAAGCAGTCAGCGCCATGATAGTGTACTCCGGCGAGTGGATCTTACCTTTGTGAGAAGCACTTGGTTCCGCATCGCGATCAATTGCAACCACGTCAGCTCCTGACTGCAATATGGCTTTGACCACGGTGATGCCCATCCCGCCCATTGCACCAGTCACTACCACCTTAGTAAGTCTTGCTGTAATAGATGTGCAAGGGTTGGCAAGGGAGACATTTGTCCTACATTGATGTCCGTCACATACCGATAATAGTTCTGCGGTCGAGGGAAAAGAGGTCCCTAGGATTGCTCTCTTGTGGGGTATGCTGTCCATTTTGTTGTCCATTCAGCTCCCTATTCACGACTGACTTGACCGAAGGTTCTGTTGAGATCATGATGCGTGGAAGTCAATATATCGAGGATGATAGTGAATAGAGCTCCGGTACAACCAAAGAGCAGTCAATAAGTGATGTATCCTGCAATATGTACGCAATATGCCTGACACACGTTTCAGAGGGCGAAAACACGATCAGTGGCTCATGGCCTCCAGATTGTTTTCCCTCTCCAATGCGTTGCTGACGTGGAACTTGCCTGCTATCGGCTGTAGGAGAACACCACACATGAAAACCGCACTTAAGCACGTACGTTACCCGATACGCCCAGGCCAAGTCTGACCGAGACCTGAGGTGAGTGGTTCCAACGTGATAGTGTTCTCGCTTGTAGGAGTACTCTGCACATACGGTGGTTCGTTAGCGGCGGAGGGCGGTCCGCCCACCACGGCTCCAGGCCCACTGCCTTTCCAAGAGCTAACAGCCGGCGATAGCCGGTGGGCATGGTGAGTGTACCAGATGAAGGCAGGTATGCAAATATGGCTGACCGGCGTCGCAAGAATCAAAAAGGCCTGGGAAAAGATCAAGAAGAGAAATGGAATTGAAACAGGAGAGTTAGAACAGGAGGAGACCCGGCACATGATCACTTCTCCTTCTGCGCTTGTACTAGTCGGATAGCACCTGTCTGCGATTCTATACGGCAACAAACCAGTCTCTCTTCCAATTCTTCAGGGCTGTCTTGGATACAACCGGTGCCGCCAAGGTCCTTTGTATCTTGTCGGAATAACAGACACACCATGGCAACCCGCTCACTTCTCGAGAGACTCGAAGAACTCTGCAACGTCGATGTCGATGATGTTGATACGGAACTCATCAACAGCTTGCCTTTCACTCCTCATAACCGTACGTCAAATCTGGCACCTTGCCCGAGAGCGTCGCTTGTGGCTAAGCTTTATCAACCAGAGACTTCGAATCAAGCAGTCATCACGAAAGAGTTGCTGAAAGCAGAGCATAAGGTGCTTCTAGACGAGCTTGTGGACAAGTATGGCAAGGAAGGCTGGGAGAAAGTGTATAACATGGCGGTGCGTCTCTTCCAGTCATCCCGGAAATCTGTTGGATATTTCGAGCTCTGACGACCACTTCGAATTCTTAGGCTGTCATTTTTTGTGCTCGAAATGTTTCCTACTTGTCAGGTCGTGTGCTCGTTCAAACTTCCCTCCGTTATGTGAACGACAGAGCCGCCATAATCAAACAATGCCTTGAGTATACCGACGCTTTTGAGAAGGCTGGCGTTCCAAGAGATCGCTTCGCCATAAAATTGCCATTTTCCGGATCTGCGGCTTCGGCGGCCCTTGAGCTAAATGCCCAAGGCATTCGCACGCTAGCAACTACGGTCTTCTCTCTTGAACAAGCGATCGCAGCCAGCCAGTCAAACTGTCTGTTCATCAGCCCATACTACAATGGTCAGTAAAATGCGTTCAGCTCCGCGATCGTACGCATCGTCATCCTTACCTTCATCCTAGAGATTGCAGCACATTTGGACCCATCGTTACGTCCACAGGTCAAAGACCCAGCTCTCGAGGTATGTTTCTGCATTGTTTGTTGTCGTGTGGACGTCTCATGCTGACAATCGCTTCAGCATCCCATGTCAGCCCGCGTGATACACATTCTCAAGACATTTGCAGAAGCATATGTCCAGACGGGAAAGGAGCAACCGATTATGGTCATAGCGAGGTGAGTCATGAACCGAAGACGGCCCACCTGCTGATGCTCCTTGATAGCCACTTCAACATTGCCGAGATTCTTGCCATGGCGGAGTTAGGTTGTCAACATGTCACCATTCAAGCTCACAACCTCAAGCAGCTTATGGAGACACCTGACACGCTTCCCCAAGTAGTCAACAAGAAGCCTAAACATCCATATGCAGAGTTCTTCATTGCAGAGCGCCTGAGAACATTGGTAGCTCTAGATCCCCTTTCTGGATCGGAGTGGAATGGAGTACTGGCCACAATGGACACGGATTTTGTGACCGACGGCGGCAAAAAGCTTGACAACTTCATCAAAACAAATTTGGTGCTGAATAAGAGGTTCGGAGATGCTTGCAAGTTTTTTCTCGAGGTTGAAGAAACAGCAAAGCTAGCTATCGAAGAAATTATCGCCGCCAAAGGCTTGTGAGGATGGAAAATGAAGTCGGATGCTGCCGGAAAATAGTGACTTGAGAGGCGTTGTGTCCGAGAATAATGCCCAATCAGTTGTCTTTAGCTAGAGCTCTTACATGCAGCCGTTCATGTTGAGTTCCAGCTCGCTTGCTATCGTGATGTGTCTCCAGGCCCGCAAGCTCCATATCTCATGCGCAGTCAATCGATAGACTGTCATGATCATACCATTTTCCATATCAAAGAATGAATTGTTGGCAGTTAGGCATACGAACCTTCTAGGTGATTCATTTCTGACGGCGATGATCGTCTATCGGTCTCGACGGCTACGCAGTCGCTGCTTTCTGTGTATAGAATTTACAATTTCAAGACCGCATTGAATACTCGATCCAGGGAGGGCCCATGGCTTCAGGAGCCCAATTGCAGTGTCCAGTAATTCCGAAACATCTTCAACTGAATCAGCTAGTGCGGGGTTTTGGGCAGCAAGCGCGATGATGAGTGCATAACCGAGACCGCTGCATGAAATATACCAATCAGTCGTCGATATCCAGAATCGAGAAGATATGGGTGTGTAACTTACCACTGTGCTGTGCTAAAAGTGTATGGTGTCCTTTCTGACAGAACGTACCCAGCGGTCAGGAGAAATATCCGGCAAGCGGAAAGACAAAGTCGGCATCGTTCAAGAGCCGCCGCTGGTACACTTCCCTCTTCTTCTGCAGCTCGTGAGGTGACATAGACCACAAATGGTCGATAGATGTTGTGTTTGGCAGACCAGTACCTCAGCCGTAAAACACAAGCTTGGTCACTGCCTCTTGGTCTGCCCAAAAGATCCGGTTTGATGGCATCTGGTAATGACTCATACCATGTTTCGAGTTGACGATCGAGCTCCTCGCACACTCTTAACAGTGAAGCATCAGGGTCAGACGAGAGGATTCGACATGAACTCTGCGAACGACCTGCGTACAGCGAGAGACTATCGGTGAAGTATACGGTATGGTGGATTCGGTTGAGCAAGGACCGTGCAGATATGTCGGCCAATGAGTAAAGGCTTTCCGAAGCGGTGACGCTGCTGTATGTCGGAAAGGGCATCCTATCAACTAGCGGTTCTATGCCACTCCTAGGCTGATGAAACTCAGCAAGGATGTCGCTAATTGACCATTTATCAATAACCGGTCATTAATGACAAACTTCAGCCGACAGACATACCATTCGATCAAGAAACATGCCCAACTGACTCTGATGACGCCTTCATTGGTGTTCTTGGACAGATGGTCTTTGCGCCTTGGAAGACTTGGTCAGGCTTTTTACCATACATCGGCCAATTGGGGTAATGACCAAACTTACATTTGCTGGACGCTTGTTGATGCCATATGTACAAGCCTCCAGGCCATCAATGGCTCGACCACATAGCAGAAGTAAAGTGCGCAGAGAACGAGCGCCTGGGACAGGACAATATCCCCGCTAAAAGTCATAGTCCAGGACGGGAAGAGTATCCGAAGAGCTTTTTTGATCAGTCCGTCACCCGCGTATCTGACTGTGGTAGGATCGACTGGGTCCAATACAGTAGCCCCTAATGCAAAGATGGACAAAAACAAGGCAGATTCTGGGTCGTCCCGGAGGCTTTGGTTCATTACCTTTTCGTATAGCGACATCAGATCTTCCTGGTCGAAGAGGGGTCGATACGGGTGAACCACCGTCAAGTATCGCTGGAGACATGTGTCTGCGGATGACCTATCAATCTGGAGAAAGTCCTGCTCTATCTCACCCTGCGCCGAATCGCTGTGTTGCAACCACAGTGATTGAGGTCGGTTCTCCTCAACTAAGAAGAGAAACTCCTCTGGGAAGTCACCCACCAGCGTACGCATTTGTGGCAATGTAAGAAGACTGCTTGTGCTAGTTTGGTGTCCGAGAGGGATCGTGAGAGGAGGGACTTGATCGTTCAAGTGGCCTGCTGGGTTGTCCACCACATCGTTCGTTGCACTTGAAGAGCCTGCTACACTGGCGTCTTGCTGCTGGGCCTGGCCTGTATTTTCGTAGGGCATATCCTCGTAACCAAACGTTGGCGTGGACGACGAAGTCCTGGACGGCTGAGGCGGACTCCGACGAAAGGAGTCGATGACTATCGAATGTTGTCTTAATACATCTTCAATCATATCCAGGCGCCGTAGTTGTGCGTCGGGGTGTTCACCCCGGTCAATTCTGTCCGAACTTAGCATCTTGTAACACTCGTACAAGTCAATATTTGATACTTCTTGAGCGTACTTTGGAGAGGTGCCATCTTGATATACGCAATCCAAACCTCTGTCTCGGCACATTTTGCACATAGGGATGTTCCCGTCACATCGCCGTTTTCTGCAAATTAGTTAGCGGCGATGACAACGTCGAAGGAGCTGCTTGGGGTTCGAGTGCGAGTGAATACCTGTAGCGGCAGTAGTTACATGCCACATTTGTCCGCTTCGGAGCAGAACTCATATTGCAATCTCAACAGAGCACAGGAGATATATATATGCGCGTGCAATAGGGGAGCCGGCCTCCTGAGGCGATGTCGATGTTATGCTCAAGTGTGGTGCGGCGCACGTAATGGTGCGAAGTAGACATCGAGTCTGTCTCAGACGCTCAAGAGGCTCAGACAAAGTTGCCAAGAAATTTCCCGTGTTTGCCGCGGCCGCTTTTGCAGATGGGTGGTTTTCTCTCAATGCCAAGAGCGCTAACCTAGTCAGCACTAGCCTTGTCTCCCCCACACGGGCCTTCGGTAAAAGTTCCCTTCAAAAACAACCAGGCAATTATCCCTGCGTAGAAGAACGGGCGCCTTTAATCGCACTACCCCGATTATGGCGCCTTAAGGAAGCGTAGGGAGGATCTCAATAGATCTTCTCACACTTTCCCCGAGAGAGAGGCTCTTTCCAACCCTCACGAACGAAATCATGTACCTTGTAGAACCGCGTCATATCTCCCGCCTCTCTCCGCCGGCTCCTTTTATAGATTCGCCTGACTCTATCGGAATTTCGCGTTCGAAACTACCACCACGAGCCTTGTCTCTCGGAGGGAGGAGAGAGTCTCTCATCGTCAACGCATTAACCGTATCAAGCAGCGAGATCTCTGAGATCTCCGAGGATCCTTGCAGCAAAACGTCGGCTTGTGGTCTTCTCAAAGGAGACAAGTTGGGCCTTCTGTTCTCTCAAAGTTTCATTTTGGGGGAACAAAGCAGACACGTGCGTGTTGAATCTTCTATTCGTCAGTGTTAGCCCAAGTGTTGAGAGGACGATTCGAAAACCTCGCTGCTTGATCACAATTTGTAGAGATCTAGCCGTCCTTGATAATCCTCTTCTGGCTGAGGTATTTAGACACATTACGAGCGATAGGTGGTCAAATACGGGGCGCCGAATTTGTTGCAAGCTGGCATCCATTGGCCGAATTCATCTGTTGACATGTTTCATTTGCGTCAGGCTATTGTGCTAGACAGGTAGGTTTTTGCCTTTTTTGACTTCCTTCGCTCGACTTACAGTCTTTGTGGGCGTAAAAACAACAAGCATCGAATACCATGGAGAACCCGTATCAGCATCGATTCCCGAATTAACATACCAGAGGTCCCAGTGTACAAGTGAATGTTTGACAGATCCGCCCTCACTCCTGAGTAGGCAGGGCAATCGAGGAATCAACGTGTCGAACAGGGTCGGTATTAGCGTATCAAATTCCGGATCGGATCCTCTGGCTTTCATTTCCAGGTCCAGTGCCCAGCACATGCTCTTTGCAAAATATGTTTCCCACCGGTCTTCCCAGTCGTTCAATTGGGTAAGTTGCCGCTGTAGGTCGTGATATGAAAGCCGAACTTGCCAGTGGGAGACTCGCTGTTCTTGTGCAGCAGGGCCAGTTGTGCTGAGAACTTCTCGGAATCAAGCATATCATCTGTCATCTCTCGATATTCGCACAGGAAGCGTTGGGTGTCTGGGTTGCTCTGATATGTGTCCCAGGCGATTTGCTTTGGTACCAAGTCTAATAGCTGGGAATAGATGGCTTTCATTGACTCGAATTCGCCATGTACCATGTTTCTGCCGATGTCATTGGAGAGGACCTTGAATGAAAAGGATTGCTCAGTCTGCTCATCCGCCAAATTCGATATCGATACGGCCAGCGTTCGTGGAAAAGCTGATGCCATATCCTTCGGTCGAGAGGATCCAACAGCCTTCGAGTAGTTCCGCAACGACACTTGGATCAACATCGGAGTTCGTGCCTCCAGATTCTGAGAGGCACAGATCCTCAAGCCGAAGGAAAGCTCTTCTCCATCTAAGAGGGACCTGATCTTGAGGATTTCCTCTTGCAGTTGCGATTACTAGCTCCTATTGATCATGTCCAGAAGTAGAGGCCTTGAATATCCGGTCTCGAAAATCACTGTCCTCGATCTGTCTGACCTCGACACCCGCCTCCTCCAGTCGCTTCCTGCCTTCGTTGAGACCAATAAACGTTCCAGGCTCTGCGATCCCCACTTAGACCAGTTTGATCGAGTCTTTGGACCGGAGGATCCTCTCCACACATGTTCGATTGCCACTCAACCGCTCGTTGCATAGTTCCGTAGTCGTGTGTAGAACAGTGTTTTCGGGTAATACTTAGCCGAGGTAATCATCTGGGACATTATGTTTCACGACCGGAATCTCGACACCCATCTCCCTTCTGGCCCACGGGACCTCGCGCCGCTTTACTCAGGCTTGGCTCGCGTCCGGCTCAACGTCGGCTGAGGCTCGGCTTAGCCAGCTCACCCTACTAACCACGTCGAGGTAGTGGCCCAAAAGTCGTCCCCTTCCTCCAGACTGTCAAGTTTTAACGAGGGCCCTAAAACGGGGCTCTAGGGGTCCCCCTGGAGACGCACCACGGCACGTTGCCTCCTCGACCCTGCGAGAACGAGCTGGTCTTCATGGGCGTGATGGGCCTCGCACGACCTGCCTTGTGCCTCCGGCGCGAGGGAAGGTTCCTAGGAATAGTCCCTCTGCCCCTTCCATTGTCTCGCTAGGTTTATGCCTCCTTTATCGTCGATTCTCCCCTCCTCTCTATACCTTCCCTCTCTTTTTTATCGAGTGACTTAGTCATCATGTTATAAGCCGACCTTCTAGGCGGCCACGGGCACATCTAGGGGAGGAAGGTCGGGCGAAGAAACACCAACGACGACAGGCCCGGGGCAGACAGGTAGAAACAGAGGTCACGTGATGTGGACCAGTATAGACCAGGCCAAGGGTACTGAGCCACATGGACCACATGGACCAGGCTGGGCCAGGCTGGGCCAGCTGGTCCAGGTGAGAGCACCACGCTATATAGACACGCTCCTTTACCACAGGACTGTTGGGAGTCCTTCCTAGTCAATAACATTGAGACTTGCGCTCATAGTGTTACCAGTCTTCACCACCACCGTTCAGTACCTGCCATACCTGACCTCAAACAGAAGCGAGAGCACCCCTGTGCCTACTGTACCACCCCGTGCCCCACAGCTACGCATAGCCAGTCGTGACATTAAACCCTTCGTTGTACTCTACCTATCTGTAAGAGGATTGGAGCTTGGGGTGGAACAGTTGTCAATGGTTGGCCACGATGCCTAACTATCTAATGCTCCCACACATAGACTCAAAGTCCTCAGGACTTTGAGTGAAGAGGGTGCGCTCCAGCACCGTTAAGTACACGTTCCTCCTATGCTGACAGGAGGTGGTCAATGTGTCCCGTAGTACTTCCGGTTCTGTCCGGGGTGCACCTATCAGTTCCTTGCGACCTCAGGAAGCACGTGTCCAGGCCCCGTGACCTCTGCGGGCATGTCCCGTGCCTCTTGTCTCTGACCTATTGGTATGCGGGCATGACACAGTCTTTCGACCAAGGATATCACTTTAGTCAATCCCACTCATATACGGGAGTAATGCGGACTCACAATCGCAACAGAAGTCCCAGATTCTCACTACCATGCATCATCTTGATGTGGTGCTTAAAATTGTCTAGTCGACACCATTCCTTGTCTGGCTTCGTACAGTCAATGCCAAAGCATTTATATATCTTGGAGTTTCAAGTGTTGACGTTATGCACGACTCTTAAGTGTCGGTCAAGGTTGTTGACTATAGCAAAACCCCTCTCCCGCCGAGAGCAGGACGGAAGGGGACATTTGTGCTCGCGTGCATATCGTGCGAGTGTTTTCTTAGATCTGATCTAGTTTTTGCTGAATAATCACAGTTGCGACACTGCAAATCTGTTCGGTTCGATTTTGACTGTTTGAGCTTGCCACTTTCTAATTCCGGAGGAGCTGCTGGAGCATCTATAGTTGATGCATATCTTTGGCGAATACTCCCAAGTGAAGGGGTCAGTGCGGCTGTTGTGGCTGCGGTGCTTCCGTGGTCAACCCCGGCAGCTGTATGAAGGAATGCCGACTCGGAGCGAGGAATACTGCTTTCAATGGTCGCTTGATCGCTGTTGACGTCACTGGCGCGTCTTTCAGGTTGCTGTGTCATGTCAAGGTAAGTGAGGTGCCTTGCCAACGTTCCGAACAACGCTCTGGAGGTAAACGGCTTTACCAAGACATCATTTATACCGCTGCTGAAATACAGGGCGAAGTCGTCTGTTCGGGTACTTTGAGGTCATGGCGATAATTGGCGTCCTGTCAACTTGGCGGATAATATGCGAAGCGCTTAACGCCATCCAAGTTGGGCATGATGATGTCCATCAGAATGACATCGTACTTGATCCCTTCCTGTACCTTATTAATCACCCCAAGACCGCCCGTCACAACGTCAAAGATGCATTCGGAGCTTTCGAGCCACTTCGAATAGATCCGGCAACACGTTGGGTCATCTTCAGCCAGGAGAATACGTGTCGGTCGTTTCCACAAAGAAGGATGATCTTGACCCTCACTATCCCCGGTTACGAGGGTCCGGGTTGGCTCGGTGCGATCGACATCATTGCCGCGGACCTGAAAGAAACACTTGTCGGCCAGTTCAAGATCACCGCGACTCAGATCCCTCGCTGACACAGCCTCGTCGTTTGGTCCGGTAACTCGTCCGGAGATACAACTCCTTTGTCAACCCTTTCGTCTTCATTAGAAAGTCGAGGTGGCGTGTTAGGGGAATTCGTTTTGATCGTCATCCTCAAAATCTGGAGCGAGTCTCACGAACAATTCCTGTCACGCCTCCGATTGCCCTCGAAAAATCCGTCTTCGATGCGCCTCTTCGATCCAGCTCGGCTTCTCAGAGGGGGAAGTTGAACAACCGCACGATGAAGTTGACCAGCGAATACTTAAGGAACTCGCAGTGCGCGTCTACCACGATGTCGGGGGCTTCTACGAGCGATACTTCGAAGGCAAGTCCTGGACAAATAACGTGAGGGATATCTACGAAGAGTCGAGAGCCCATTATGCAGAAGGTCGCTTGAGCGGGTGGCCGAAGCCTTCACTTCAAGGTCCTTTATAGAAAACCACGGCCGTAATGGTTATTTACATAGGGGGCCATGACCGAGAGTCAAGTTGTGCTGGATGTATAGTACTCGCGACTACCAGCGGCATGTTGATCGCCCGAGATGGATCTGCTTCCGAGATTGTCCTCGAAAGACACTGGTGACCTAGTTCCGCATGTCCTCTAGCAGCCTGTTGGTACTGTTCTTCTTGCCGACAAAAGTTCAACAATAATCCCTTAAGGTTGATAGCCATGCTTTGTGAAATCATGCGGCAGTCCCAGTCCCCCAGCGCGAGAAATTTGACTGTGCGGTCTAGGCAGATAAGGGTATTGCTCACCTGATCAGGCGGAGGTGGAGGACCGAGAGTCTCCCTCCAGATTTGACGGTTCTTCTTGTTTTTATACAATCCTAAACTCCTACGCATCTTCCGTCTTGCCTTTGAGTCCTTGTACATGTTTTCGTGATAAATGCAAGTGGAAAGTCCAAGTATGCTCGCTGCTTCAGCCATTCCTCGACTCTTGGCGTTCCAGATGGGCTTTGTGTTACATACGTCGTTGGTTTTGTTCCACAGATCGTTCGCAAGAGTGCTAGCAAGGTCTTTGGCATGGCAGGTGTAGTATGCTGTGGTTGCATAATCGGATAAGACACTGACAGTGTAGTCGTGATGTGGACCATAAAGCTCCTCTGTCTTACGGAAAGCAAGTTGGTAACTGTCCAAGAACTTCTCAACTTTCAAGCCACTGCTGTCCACGTGGCGATAGTAGTTAGCCCATAGCCTTAGGACGTTAGGGTCGTTGGGACTCCGCCGTGACGAGAAGGCTCTAGTGGCGCATTGGTAGGTCGTCCGTATGATATGCTTGATTTCGGCAAGACAGACTTGTCTTTCCTTGATCTCCTGTTGCCTATTCTCTTTGCGAATCTTCCGGTAACTTTCCTTTTTCTCGAGGTATGCTTGCCTGCGGGTTTCTTCGTCCTCGTTCCCTGTTCCACTGCCCTGGTTTTGATATTCTTGCTGGACTACATCCGCAGCCTGTGTACCTGCCTCAAGTTCTTCATGGCCCTCATTCCGTGTCTGCATCTTGTTTTCACCGTTCTCTTGTTGAATATCATCAATGAAGTAAGGTTCAAGAGACCTGACAAAATCGAAAAGAACCGTTTTTATGCTCTGGAGATCGGCGTCGACCGAAAGAGCGTCGACCGAAAGACGTAGAGCTCGAAGGAATCTCGCTACGTAGGCACCTTTGGAGGATCCCAGCTGGCTAGAGAGAGCCAGCAATATCTGACAAATGCTCCAGAAGTCACTGAAGATAAACGGACTTAGGACAAGCGTGCGACTATCCTTGGTCATTTCCTTGAGGCGATTCAGTACCCTACCTTCGAAGATCCGATCAATGACCCCCCGGATGTATAGATTTGTCTCTTTCTTCTTCTCTCTCTTCGAAAGCGGGCACTCTTCGGTGGATTTGGGCAGCACGAAATGCTTGCAATTACGCAGCAGAGCGAACATTCCCTGGCAGCAATTCAACAAGCTCCGCCAATTTGATTCGACCGCAACCAGAATATTTCCAATACTTTCTTCTGATGCGGTGCCTCCTTTGTTGATTGTAAGAGAAGAGTCAAGGAACCCGGTTACAAATTCGTCGGTGTGGCGAAGGAGTAAAATATGCTTCTTATAGATCGTAGGCTCAAGTGTATAAGGCACATGGACCCGTCGTTCGAAAAAAGGAGGACAAGCGTTATATTTGCCAGATCTTCTGTAAGATCTTTTGCGATGCGGGTTCGGTTCTCGTTTCGTAGTCTTCGTCGTTGTAAACCCTGCCGCGTTGGATTTGTTCTTTTTGAGTATCTTATCGGCCGCACTTCCACTTTCGTTGGGCCAGCCGCCCTCATTTGGCCACCCTCTTTTTACCCTGTATCTATATTCTTCCACCCTGACACCTGTTAACGGAATTTGGCAGGTTGCAAACCTTGGAGCTTCTTACGTTGCTTCGAAACCAAAGAGACATGCCAAAAAAGATGCTGTTTGTTCCAATGTAAGACTATATCCCTGAGGCTGGTATAAAGCCTTGAACATTGGGCCAATATTTATCCAGTCGGTTACAGATGTTTTAGAAATTTTTGCAATGTTTTGTAAGTTGTTATTATGTCCGGACTTTTCCGCCGGCAGCAAGGTGTTTGTTTGAGGGATATCGGTGCCAGTGAACCCACCCTGATCCAACGAAGCTAGGGGGAGACCAGCAATCCACTCTTGTCGATATGGGCTGGAATGAAAAGGGAAAAACCCCTGTTGCCATGGACCTTCGACGTCGGCATTACTCAGAGCGGACTCTGTCTCGACGTTGGTTATGGAATGGAAGGATGGCGTTACACCTGGAAGTCCCATTGGGTGTCTAGAGTCGGTCGCGAGTTGACCATCTGGGACATATTGTGCTTCCATCTCCAGGTTTTGGTCCTGTGCCGCGGATTCAGCCCCGTAAAAAGGACCTTTCCAAGAGTTAGGAAATAGCTGGTCCATGGTATCTCCTTGAAATGATAGTTGGCCCCAGTTCGAGTTACACAAAGGTTAGAAGACGATAGCCGCCCTTCAGGCTTAAGTAACTTTTGCCAATATTAGTCAGCAACGGACAGGTGAAAACTCACATGATGCTGACTTTATTAGTGGATTGTTTGCCACACCGGTTTGATGGTCTCTACGAGGTATGCCAATAGGAGATCGAACGGCCCCCACCAAAAGATGGAGTTTCTTCGCCGAGCGATTATTGGACGGTTTAAACCAATGCCTGGAGCCAAAGACTAAATGGTCATGCAAGCGCAAGGATACTGCTGACACCGCAGTACACTGCTCGTGGGACCCCGACGAACTTTGCACATGATTGGCGTCTCGCTTCGAGTGGGGTAGATACAAACAGTAGATTCGTCCTGAGCTCCTTACAACTCGGGCGAAGCTGCCAAGACAGGTCTACTTCGAAAAGAGAGAACAACATTTGCTCGCATAGCTGAAAGAAAGATAAAAGACCTAGTTCCTCTCTTCTTTCCAGAGCTTCAATCGTTTTAATTTAGGCTCTTCTAATCTCGACGCTCCGCCAATTTCCTTCCAGCTGAGCAACATGCCTTCAAGTTCCAGACAAACCGATTATCATTCCTCATCAGGCCACTCACGACAGAAGCATGCTTCTGACTTGACCTCCAAGGCTTTAAAATACAGCCCCAGCTCTGCCAACGAGCCGAATTCCTCAGAGCTGGCCATCTGGGAGAAGGTGGCTCCCAAGATCAACTACGCAAATGCAATGATTCTTATTGTCAGCGACACGCAGGAGAAGAAGTCGCTCAAGAAGTTCCTTACAAGAAATCAAGACCTGAGAAGTAAGTAATCTTCCTGGTCCGAAAACAGGTACCTCTTATTGTGACCCCGAAAAGTGCTGATTGAACACGGAATAGAGATTGAAATCGAAGGCGACGATACCGATATGTTCAAACGAAACTCGACCTCCACGGTGATGCTCGCGACTCCCGACGAACTACAACATGTCTTGGAGCTTGCATCAAAGCTAAAGATCAATAGAACAACGCAATCCACTAGCGCTCCAAGTGGCTGGGGAATTTGGAAGTCGAAATATCCCCAGGAGAGCCAGACAAAATCGATCATCCCTGAGACACTTTTCATCGTTGTGAGCAGGTCCATCAAAGAGATCGCTTATTCCATCTCCAATCGTATCAAGGAAGTTACAATCATGCAAAGCAACCCAGCCCAGGATGTCAACGATAGGTACTCCCTCTGCATTAATAAGTCGTCGACTTACTGCGACATTGAGACGTGGGGGTGGGATCACCGAGACAACTGGAGAGATCGCTCTATTACCCACCAGGGGGGCATGTATTGGGATCTTAGTAGCCTCTCCCGTCAAGACTTGGACTTCAACAATTCAATTATCTCCGCCATGACACCAGAAATGAGCGAACAAGTGCAGAACAACTTTCAAGATTTCATCGAAGAAGATGACGGCGATCAGTCTTCGGGTGGGTCTACTTCAAGAGGACCATATGCACCGACACATACTGACAAGGTCAGTTGGTTCGAGAGATGGCTAAAGCTTATTGCCGGGGTTGTCGGCGCCGCAGTCGGAGTCAAGGCGGCCGTTGCCAGCTTCTCCTTCTGCTGGTTCAACGCAGGTGGATTTTTTGTCAGAGGGTCTCTGGGTTTGTACTTGTCCGGAGGTTACTTCAACATGGGAGCCTTTGGGGGTGCTTGCTTGAGTAGTGCAGCAGTAGGTGTTGGTACTGCAATTGCAGCTGGTGCTGCGGTCTATTACATACCATGGGGAAAGATCTGGGACTTCGTGATGCAGATACTGAAATCGGTCTGGAACAAGATCAAGGATGCTGCTTTCTTGATCTGGCAAAAGCTCAAGACATTAGTATCGGATGTTGCATCGAAGCTCAAGCAAGGACTCACGGGGAATGCGTTCCCTCATATGGAGAAACCCGCGAGATTTACCGCCTGAAGGATTCCGTGTCGCACTGGAGAGTGAATTACTAATTGTTGCATGCTCTTTGCTTGCTGATTTTTGCTTCTTTAGCTCCTTCTGGGGTGGTATGGAAACTTTGGAAGGCGATGCTGTGTGACAGTACTTCGCAATGACTTAATGAACCTTTCCTACTGGCGGCCTGTTGATATTTTGAGTTAGCTAGGTTGTTTAATAAAATTATGTACAACCAGAAACAATTTCAGTCTGTCGGTGCGCCATCTTCGATGTTGTTGAGCAGGTAGCTGTAGAGCGGAGATGGATGTCATCGGCGTAAGCGAGGAAAGTCGTCTCATGGTCACGTGAGGGTCGACAACCTTCGTTGAGCTGTACACTTATATTTTGATAGAGCCTAATACCTGACCAAGACCGTGCCTTAAGCTGCTTTATACGGCCTCTTGGAAGCTCCTTCATTTGATTTAGGACACGCAATTCAACCACGCTGCTCTATCTCATCTTACGTGACTCAGAGCAAAGAAAAATCCCACATTCAAATGATCAACACTTGACTCCACCCACGCCCAGCTTCGACGTGCTGTTCTGCCTCACCGAACATGATGCCGTCAACATAGCTTCCACCCAGCGTCTTATATTCTTTTGCCACAGCCGTGGATCCTTCCGCGGCTCTCATCGCAAACGGCATCACCGCACCTTCCAACATGACCCAGCTTACCTCTCAACCTCGCTCGAGCCGGATTGTGTTGGCAGTCTGATGGCTCACATGTTTCTAACGGGTTTTATTCCATATCAACATGAAGTGAATGGATCCGTCGTCTTGTTCTTGTCCCAAGTCGACGAGGTGAACACCAAGGTTCTTAACCATGGCCTGTCACCTATGTACTTGCCTCTATTCAGTGTACTCATGACGAGCCGAAGATATCTTACGAGGATTTCCCCCAACTTGGTAAGCCCAGCCACAATCCTCTGTCGTCGTTACAGCTCATGTTCTGAGTCGTTCTAAACGCCGGTAGCACCAGCCGCCGATTTAGTTTCTCCCTCTGCCGACAGTGGTACAGGATCCGTCCTCTGTCCGCCCTTTTGGCTGGGATCGGCCTTAATCTTGTGCAGTTGATCACTCAGCTCTTCATTTCCGGCTGGTGCTCGCGAGCTGGTGTCGCCGGCTTCTGATTGTTTACCACCACCGGTGGCAGTCTCCTCGCCGCCAGTAGGTTTCGTGCGGAGCTGCCTTTGGCAGTATCAGTATTTTTCTTCCCGTCGGGTGTAAGTCCGAGAGCACTGTGGCTGCCGGGTGCACCAGTGCCGGTCAGCGTAATCAACAGTATTATTCCCATTGTCATTCCAGCTTGCCGAAATGCGTATGTTTGACCAATAATCCCAGCACCAATGATGGAATTGGCCATATTCATGAAAGCACTTCGCATCCCGTTCTTGGGCCTGGCATCGGGTAAATAGTCCTCGGGCTGAAAGGATTCTGAGAGAAAGGGCGACGAAGAAGGTGGTTTTACGTTGGTGAGCAATGGAGCACGCTGGCTTGGGGAGGTAAGGTAATCATCGTCGTCCACCCATTCTTCGGGTTGAGGACTGCCAGCACGGTCGTCGAGGTCGAACCGCACCCGGTTGGTCGTCCGAGGAGTACCGTTCAGCCGAGAATGGGAGAGAGACGATTGTCTCTGCGACGATGGACGGATCTAATTGCTGTCCGAGCCAGTAGGAGAATCCCGGCCTAGTGGAGGAGAGGTGGTATCATCGGCGGAAGCGAGCAGGTGCCTGTAGCTCTCGATCTTCCCATTTGGGACATGGTTGATGACTCCGTTAGTTTCCTCATCATCTGTTGGCATGTCGCACGAGTCGCATTTCGCCGCAAATGGTGAGGAGGGAGATCTCTGTAATTGTAAGAACAATCCCAGTGTCATCTTCGAGTCAACGAGACGTATGCTCGGATCGGCGATGTGGAACTGCCAAGGGGAGAAGGATGAATGGTGAAGCTTGAGCCAGACTAACTAATTTAGAGAAAGGGAACTTTGTGACCAATACGTTAACTTGAATCGGGTGCCAAGTTATGGGTACTGTAGGCTACGGCAGAGTCGATAAATTGGCGACTATAGGCGGGTGCGGGAACGGGGCCCCCTGGCCCAGATTGTGGGCGCGAGTGATCCGTTGCTCAGGCCGACCACCACCATGCTCAGTCACGTGCAGGAGCATCTCAGGTTGAAGCAGCGAGGCTCAGGGCCACGCTCAGGTCCAGAGATGGAAATGGAATGTCCTCGTGTCGAGATTCCGATCTCGAAATCCCTGTTTCTCGGCGAGTTCGATGAGGCAGCAGTGTTCAGGATGTGTCGAGCCTGGGTCTCCCGGTCTATCATCATGCAGTTCCAATGAGTAGCTTGTGGAGAGAATTTCATCGTTCTCTCGATTCACGAGGACTGCTCCTGCACAAAACTTCGTAGGTGCTGGAGGTAAGAGGCGTGCTTTCTCAAGAGCATATTCCATGCATACTTGATGCTGGTCAGCATCAAATACGACGTGAGGCGATTCGCCCGCCATATCTGACAGATTAGTGGCAAAGGTTGCGCGAAATCCGAGACATGTTTGGACAAAGTGGGCGGTTAAGAAGTCGTGTTGTTTTTGGGCGTCAGATGGTCCTTTAGTTAACATGAGAACGGGTGAATGTCAGACGAAAGGTGAGACGTCGATTCCTAGGTCATAACCCTTTAGATCTCTCGTTTTTTAAAACTGCTGGGGGCCACAGAGTCTCCGGCCCGCCTGGAAACCGGCGGCTTAACTAGTTACTAAATGAGATGAGCTGTCAGTATTTCTATTACTGTAGGTCTTAGACGTTTAATAAGCAATGCCAATGCCAAGAAGCTCATCTTCTTCACTTAAACATTAATCAAATATGATCAAGATGATCTAGGGAGAACGAGCTGAGCCCTTGGTTTGCAACCGACATCTTCATCAGCGCTTAAGTTTTCGTCTACCGTAGCATTTCGAATGAATTACCACCTTCGCCGGATGAGTTTCAGCCTGAGGAACTCCTCCTCCATGGCGTCCCTCTTGAAATTTTACTTTCTGCAAAAGGCCACCACCAAGCTAGCTTGGTCTCAGGCGAAATAGCCATGAGGCGGAGAGCAATCTCGAAAAAAAAGTGGAACTGGATTTGGTGCCAAGAAATTACTCTGCATTTCTGACTGCGCAGGAGATAAGTTCCGGTCACGCAAAGGGGAAACTGTGATCTTGCGATACTTACCTATTCCACGCTTGAGCCTGCCAGCAGTCCCCGTGGGTCCGCGGACCGAGGGCATCTTGCGGGACACTTTGGCATCCTGGGGAACATCGCCCTGCTGAGAGTGAACTTCTTTCTTGATGAGGCTTGCATAAAGATGCACACAGGTCTAGATCCAACTCAGGCACCGTTAGTGGTAGTGTTTCTCGCTGCTAGATCATACCCTGGCAGGTAATAATTGTGAACCATGGCTGGTCTCAGCATCCCTTGGGAACTCCCAGCCAAGGAGGTGGCATGGTTGAAGCGCGATGTACTCCTCTTTGCAGCCAGGATCGGATGTTCTGTCGAGAAACTGCAATTTCTGTATGTGAGTACTCTTGTCACGTCGCCAGGGCCTAGCCCGCCAGTCAGGCCGCTGACTGTCTCCAATGTCAGGAGTCCCATCCTGAATTTGCCGTTTTTCCAACATGCCCGACAATCTTACGTACGTGGACCGCCTTTGGGCATTTGATTTCCAATCGGACACTTCGAGCTTACCTAGAAGCCCCGTCATTAGCGTTCAAGCTCAAGGATCAAGATGTCACCGACTACTTTGCTCGCGAATCGCTTCCGCTTGTCCCAGGGACGCCCAAGTTTGATCCGAAGCGTGGCGTTGACGGTCAGCGTAAACTCACGGTTTCCAAACCCCTGCCAACGACGAGGCCCGGGCGATCTTTCGAGCTTCGCAGTCGAGTCATCGGTGTCTACGACAAGGGAACCGCCGGCACCATAATCGAAACGGAGCAGTGGGTGGACCGAGATTCTGATGAAGTGTACTCCCAGGTAATTGGAAGCGCTTTTCTCGTCGGTCAGGGCAACTGGGGTCGTCCCAAAGGTAGGTTTACATACCCCCAAGATGCTGGAGCATTAATCCAGCACGGCCATTACGAAATGCTAATCTGTCTTCGGACGCTTTCGAAGGCCAAAATCCCAAGACTACGACTTTCCCAAAGATCAAGTGGCCCATGTGAGATTTGAACTCGCGACCAGCAATGAGACTGCTTATCTGTACAGGTGAGTAATCAGCTGCAACTTTCCGAATAATTCTGCTTTGCGGGAATGAGATTGTTTACCATGTTGTACGACAGGCTCAATAGAGACTATTACTCTCTCCACGCCGCTCCCACTCTGGGCCAAAAGATGGGATTTGGGGGGGCCATTCTGCACGGCTGTATGGCTGGAACGCCGTCGCCCACGGCATCCTCCGAGACGTTGGCTTCAGTGACCCCAAGGCCCTCCGAGAATTTTCAGCACGCTTTGCGTCACCTGTCAAACCTGGCGACACCCTGGTCACGGAGGCCTGGAGAGTGGGGATCGCAGGCAACGGTTTCGAAGATGTCCGGTTTGTCACGAAAAATCAGACGGGGAAGCCAGTTCTGACCAGCGGTCGCGCTCCTCTTCGGCGTCCGTCTTCGCTCCAGTAATCAAGGGGGGAAGTCATTTTCTTGAATGCAGCATACTGGAGGTCAAATCGCCGTAATGGGCAGAGGACTCGCTGGCGCGCTAGATGGTATATGAAGACATTTGTATCATCGCCAGGAGCAGCATATTTTTGCTGCATCCATAGCTTGTGCTCACACGCTGCCAGACGTCAGTGGTGGTTTGACGCCGTGGAGTACCTGCACTGTTCCCATCCAAGTCATACAAGTGCACATCTGAAGGGCTTCGGGAAAAGAGAGACAAGGATGATTCTCCTCCTGAGGGTCTGCTACGCAGAAGCTGCCCCATCTGCCCAAAAAAGCTCACCGTCGGTTTACGCGAAGTGTGTCGACCCTAATTGTCCGTCCACCACTCAATTCCATGCAACACTCTCATTTTCCACTCTCTGGAGGGTGTATTTTTGCCGCTGTATCTATTACTTGCTGCCTGCCTGAGAGACATCATGCTCTTCTAAATGGCTTCAGTGCTTTGATCCTGCCTTTCGATGCACCTTCGCAACGCCAGAGACCTTCGATTCGAACCAGTTCCAGGCCCCAGATCATCCAAAACTGGTCCATTCTTTCGTCCTATTCGTTTCGATACGCGGCTAGGATAGCATACCGTTCAAGCTTGGGCACCACCACTTGCTTACAGCTGAGATTATACCGGGACGTGGACGACCATGGCCGGGAAACTATCAACAGCATTGAGGATTGAGCCTTACATCATAAAGAGGTGCCAAACGATCTCTGAGAACAAAGATTATTCACCGATGGTCCATCTTACTGTGCGGGCTGTTGAAGATCGGTATTCGGGGGCTTCTATGTTGAAATTGCCAATCTTCGATCTGGACCGCGGGATGCTTGCTTGCACCAGACGTTGCGGGCAGCAATAGACGTTCGACCATTGTCAGCACATCGTCACCAACGTCGTCATCATCATCACAGGCTCACAGCATCGTGCCCCTTGATCAAGTCGATTGTCATGAAGCCGCTAGGTCCAACGATGGAGGAGATGGTAGATTTCTCTCTCGTGTTCACCGAGGAAAGGTTCAGAGTTTCACCGGTGGCTCAATACGCGGCTGGGCCGGTGAGAGTAGGAAAGTGTACGCAGGTGTGTATTAAACGTGTCTGCCTTGGAACCCCTTTTGGCAGACAGCAACAGGCACTTAATTAAGGCGGCTGAGCTTCCGTATTATACTATACGATAGGCAGAGCACGAAAACGAAGCCCAACAACAAGAATAGCTATTCCATGATATGCTATCTTAACGAGCCTCTAGGCATGGGAGACAAAGTCGACTCTTATGCGAGGACGTACGGCTCAAGCTCCTTTAACCTAAAACCACGGTGGCCTTAGCGTTCGTGACACATTCCGTCGTATCGTCAGGTTGCGAGAGGACAGAGTTCTCAATACGTGAAATTTCGCCCTGTAAGACGTGTTGTATGACACATACTGTCTACGGCTTCTGGCCACATCACTCCCGCTGCTCGTGACTCAATAGTGCTCTCATAAATTTCTCGGCAGCGTGGATGTGACAGGGAAAAAAAATATAAAAAGTAAAAAACCACTTTGACGTACTGCTTGTTAAATCTCCCTACATAATCCACGTTGCATTTGCATAGTTTGGCGCATCACCTGAGGTGTAGGTTCATTCCATCGCTCGCGTTGTGGTTAGGTCTACTCAGAGTAAATGAGATGAGCCTAGTATGATGAAGAAGAGGATGTGTTAGATGTGTTTAACTCACAAAGGTCGTGCATTGAAGCACTGCTTTTTAAGTAGACTTGGTTCACATAATCCACTACATATGCCGAATTCATTATGCCCGCAGCTGCTGCCTGGCACGATCTGCAGCTGTCCACCTCTCCCCGGGGCTCCCCCGCCTGAATTGAGGATTGTTATTTAGGCCTTAGTGATGGTGATCAGGTCCTGTGCATTTGCTGGGAAGTCGAGCGTAATGTCTACAAAACGTCAGGCGCGGTCCACATACTCATGTCACTAAATTCACATACCGAGGTTACTTCCCTGGCCCTCACGCGTGAATTCTAGGGTCGTCGCGTTACTCCCGCCAACCCGAAGAATATCAATGTAGTAGCGAGTGGTGGAGTTCCAAGGCAGGTCACTAACCCGGAGTCGGTAGGTATTGCTGGTGTTGTTGCGCTGGGAGACCGGAGCGAACGTAACACAAGCTGATGTACCGTAAGTCCCTGGATCAGGCTGGCTTGGACACAGAGGCCCATGTCCTACATGGGAACAGGAAAAGTTGATTGCCATCCGCAAAACAGACCTGATCACCATTGATCACTGGCGACGATTCAGCATTGTCAGAAACCCACAGGCAATGGCGGGAATATATGAAGTCGTCACTTACATCCGTCGGGCTTTACAGGAAGATACGCCAATGTAGATGAGTTTAGGTAGGGTAGCTAACATTCAGGTCAGTGATCATAATATTCTTGGCGTAAAGAGACACTTGCCAATGTCGTCACGATTTCTTGGGGAACCGTGTAGTCTAGTTGATAGTTGTTCAAAAAGACTTGAATCTGGTGCGTATCATTTGAACGGCCTGCCAGAACTGCGAAACCATCCGAACTACCGCCACTAACTTCAAGCCGGTTAGGCGTCCGGTTCAGAAAGTTGATATAGTTCACCCAAGCTTTGGCGACATTTCGAGGGATGGGCTGGTCTTCTGCGGACTTATTGAAAAATCCCTGGTACCAGAAGCCACCAGCACCCCAGCCACCGTAGCTCAAACCAGGATAGAGAATGGTATGCTCAACGGAGGTATCTTGGGCATACATCAACTGATCAACTTTAGACGGATCTTGGAGCACAAAGGTGGCTGGAAAGACTGCTTACAACTCCGATGTTGAAGGCTGAGAAGAACTGTGGATCTCGGTATAAATTGAGAGCCTCTTGCGAGCTGAAAGTCCTGCAGTATTAGATCAACGGCCTCAAGTATCAGACAGTGGAAGGGTCGAAGCGTAGTGAGACTGATGAAAGGCAAGCGTATGGTGAAGCCGAATCCCAGCTTCCAGAGGGCAGCCTACCTGGGGGACACCGACGTTGACCATCCCGAGTGCGTAGCCCAAATTTCGAGGTCGGGAAGTCCAGCTGGTATGAGAATATCGTTTCGAAACTTGTCCGTTATCGTCTTGATATCGTAGGCTATTGATCTCAAAATAAGACATGATGACCCTACCAGCAGAGCGATCGAGACACATACGATTAAAGCTGAACCACAAATTTACAAAGTGAAAAGTGGCAGCCTTGATGGGGACATTTCGGTCCACACAATCTTTGTAGAATTGGACGATGAAGGGATCAAATGTCTGCAGGTGTAAGCCGTTTTTATCGCGGAAAGCACTATGCAAGGTGTTTTGTTTTGTTATTTTCGTTCGTCTTACCGAGTAGTTGTGCTTCGTCGGATCTATATTGCGTCAGTGACATGATCATAATCCATGGGACCTGTCGTCCAAACATACAAAATCTATTCGAACCCCACGCCCCACTAGATTCTTAGGTCTTGCGTTGATTAGATGATGCGGTATAGGACTTACACCCCAACTCTAGAAGAACTTGAGAGCGGTCAGCTTCTCTTCGATAAACCCTCAAATGGGCATCAAACCTGGCATTGGCCACCCCGTGATTGAAATTGCTGAAATAGGCGAACATATGCTGGTATTGTGACTCGATTGTTGGAGAGTTGAGCTTACTTCGTAAGTGCTTGCAAGTACGGGCTCCACGAGCGTCCTTACCAGATCAGTCTCGGGATAGAATTCAAAGAGCTCGATAGCGTCGGAGAACCCAGAGTCGTAGGCACCATTCCTGACAGAGGTTAAGATGCTTGCTCTGTAGAAGACTTGGGCCTTCTCGGGACTAGAAGCTTACAGGTATCGGTCAGTGATCATGTACGCAATCTTGCCCAAATCTTCTGGTGATGTGATGTTCGGGTTGGTGCCATTGTCCGGCTTGCAAAAACTAGCATGTCAGTGCTTCGAGGGATAAATGTATATCAATGATTATTAAGAAGGACCTTACTTGAAATTGGATGATTGCCTGCCATTTCCCTTGCATCAGCACGTCAATAGCGATCACAATTCAGAAAAACCCCATACCTTTGCGCCATTTGACACGACATAGTTCACATAGCCATCGGCCTGTTGCCAGAAATCAGCAGATCTAGCATGATAATTCACCTTCAGCAGCACAACTTACTGCTGTCCAATTGTAGTTACTGTTATTGAGTGGGTCGCCGGCCGTTCCAGGTTTCCCCCAACCGAGAAAAACTTGTGGAAAGTTGTCTAGAAAGAGTTAGCCAGGTCTCTGATGTCGTGTACGAGACTGAAAAATACACGGCTGCATACAGATTAACACATGTTTGATTCCACATTCCGGGAATAGTGCCCCGATTTCTGCTTGATAGTCACAGAAGAGGTCAGAGGCTCCATCAAATGCTTGGAAAATAAAGTCTATAAGGTCAGCCCGGTCCTTTTACTTTGAATGGCCCGGACGATGCACCTGAATCCGCACTGAGGGACCCTATTCAGGCTTTAGCACTGACACGTTCAATACACAAGCTCAAGCCGCACTCACCCTGGATCTCTTGTCTCAATTGACCACATGGAGAGCTTGCGTTCACCACAATCTGACGGACTTTTTGGGTGGCTCCAGCTAAGACTGGCAAAAGAACAGAGAGCGGTAGGAATAATAGAAGGGGGGACATGGTTGCCAGGTACACAAGAATCAGCAATGCCCGGGCTGAATAAGGAACTGGTCTTCAAAGCAGAGGTCCGAGGTCCCCCGATTTTAAGGCAACATATATATGAATACAAGATCAACGAGAGGCGCTACTTTGTGGAAACAGACCTTGGAGTTATGTGATGGATTTACAAAGTCTGGAGCCGGAATATGGTGTGGCATTCGGACCCTTTTCAACCGGTTCTCTGCACAGTGGTCAGGTTTCTCGGTACACCTCGTTCGCTCCTCTGGGTCCATCCGCCTTGATTTTACACCGAGGCCAAGTCCCTGCTTTCTCAGCTGAAAAAAACACCACCCCCATGTCGCTTCGGTACAAGGCGATGCGGACTGCTGAACCTATGCGGAGCAAATTTCGGGGGGAAGGACCTGGTAGAGATCATCAGACATGCAGCGGGAGATTTTGTTTTACGACCCTGGTAACAACCACAGACGAGTCCCTGCCGGGGAGAAACTTCAGGACCACATCGACATCGACTATCGGCGCATGGCCCGAGTTCAGGGTAACGATCAGTAGGCATGGAAGAATATCAGAAATGAAGATATTAGATTATCGATGACTATACAGTCAAAACAAACAATATGTCGAAGCTATTTACTAGTAATACCACGGTCGACCTCTAATCCCGGAGCCAATCTTCGGACTGCTTTCCTTGAACAGAGCAGACTTTTCCTTTACTTGCACGACCAACACAAAAGCGACGAGGTACCATTCGCGCAAGACTTTTCGTAAAATGCCTCCTGGGGATAGGGGCACAGAACCTCGTCCATCGTGGCGTTTTGGGGCAACTGGACCGTGACCGGACTCGCGTCAGGTGCAGTTCCATTTTCTACCCATGAACGCAGCTGGTCAAATAGATGGATAGGCTGGCCGCCTGGGCCACCCCAACAGTGTTGAAGGCCCGGAACACGGTAGTAGAGGTAGAAGTCCATGACATTGTCAAGCACTGTGGACACTTCCTGGTAGTAGTGAAGCGTGCTCTTTGGCGAAATTGCCGCATCCGCCTTGTTTTGACATTAGCATCACGTCAACTGTAAGGGGCTTTGAGGCAACTTACAAGACCATGATACGTGATCATTTTACCTCCGGCCTCCTTGAAGTCAGCAATCCGAGTCTCGGTGGCTGCTATTGGGGCCAGCTCCTTTTTCAATGTGCGATACAGATCATCAAATTGTGAATGAGTCAGGCTTGTAACATTTGCCGAGGGGTCCCTCAGAACGAAGTATTGCTGCCAAAAGTCTAGGCTGGATCGATTGTCGGGAATACATGTGCTGTTCTGCGTGCAGGTTGTGGCTGCAAGTTCGGACAAATTGGTTCCAATTTCGAATCCATACCACATGAAGTCACCGTTGGAGTATCTAGGTCCGTTCCAAATGTTTTCCGACACGTCGACGGCGGCGGCACTTATTGACATGTTCAGACCTGTTTCGGCACACGTAAAAGTTGTCCCGACGTAGTCTGCTGGCTTGAATGTAGCGCGGCATGTTTCAGGGTCTGCAATGAGCCCGTCATTAACACCATCGAGGCCATCGCACTCGGTGATGGCAAGTGTTGTTAGCTGCATCAGTTCACACGCCGGAGGGTATTGTTGTGTCAGGTCCATGTAGAAAGCCGGCCAAACGGAGGAGATGCTCAGCTCAGCCCAGTACATCCCTGGTGCTGCGGCAATGATGCCATCATACGCTTCGGGATACTGTTGGGCCAGAATACTGGCCTGCCTCCCACCATTTGAACAGCCATTCCAGTAGGAATAGAGGGGCGCTTGTCCGTAATAGCCTTCAATCACCTGCTTGGCGATGACTGCCTGTTGCCATTAGCGTCATTCCGTAGAACCGCGCCATACGCACTAAGTCACCCAAGGACGTTTGTCCAAAGTCATCCAGGGCTACAAAATTCAAATTTCCCGGGCTGTTCAGGAGCCAAGTCGCCGGGGTCAACGAAGTGCCAAGACCAGCGTCCGTCGTCGCCGTGGCGTACCCATCATAGATGGCGCCAGCCATTCCGGCATATGATAGCACAAACCGGCCCGCTGCCCAACCGCCACCTCCAATTGACTGAAGTCTGCCATTCCAGCCGTCGGGGGGGAGCCACACCTCAGCGTAGATTGTGTCGTTTTGATCCGGGTGAGTATAGGTCGCGGTCACATTGCAAAATGTCGCGTTTTCCACGCTGACCGAGGGCTGAGAATAACGCCAGCCCTCTGGAATGGGAAAGCTGTAGTTCGTGACGATGCTTGCGTCGACTGAAATAATTTCGGCGCCAAAGAGTGAAACGCTCGAGAAAGTGCTTGGTGTGCACCCCTGGATTGGCGAAAGCAAAGCCATAATATGCGGAAGACAGGATGGCAGTACGGTGTAGAGAAAGATTGTCCGTGATCTTCTCTGGCACACAGCTGCTTTATAGCCGACTGAAGATGAGATTGCAAGATAAGGTACAAGACAACGAATACGGACAGGATGGGGATCCGATCCCAGTTCTCATGTTGAACCCAGGAGATCGATATATCCAAGATATGGGGACACCTCCGCGGTTAAAAATGGATAGTGTGCGCTCAAATATACCTGTAATTCCCTTAACATAGCGTCCTGACCCTGCCACATCTTCAACTCTTCCACATTAGCCAGGACGACTGCGTGCACTCAATTGAGGTCTTCGTGGCGGCATATCTCGGCCCCAGTCGGAGATTCGGCATTTTCTCTTTGTCAGGGGCACAACGTCCGGGGTAGGGACGATCGGCATGTGGGGAAGGCAGCGCTATTAAACTAAGTATTTCGCTTCGCGCACAGTGCAACCTTGAGATGCTTTGTGGAGCAGCGGAGATGCCCCGACACTCCCCCTCAGCCCCGGAAAGTATGTCTCGCGTGTACATTGCCACCTGACTGGTGACTGGAACTATATCCCGCCCATTGGCACCGATGCGGTAACAACTTGGTCCGTGCTTTTGCTAATTGCAGCTGGCGGGCGTGAGTCTTTTGGGTGAAAGATGTACTACTTATAGCCTGTGCATCGTGTTGGTATTTGCGTGGCCCTCAGCAGAGGGTAGACCTTCACGTTAATTCATTGCACCACATCAGGATGAGCAGCTCTATTCACCAGCTAATGGTGTGCTCACCATCGGCCATAGCTCCTCCAGTTCTGCTCGGGGCGGAGGTTCTTTCCGTTTCCGCTATTCTCATCACCAATTACAGTGTCGAAGTGCCACAGACTTACAATTTCAATCACCCGGCTATATCGGTCAAAGATGTGGACTTCTGCAACGTTACCGTGACCTACACCTACCCAGGAGAGAACGATGCCATCCACGTTGAAACTTGGCTTCCCCGTGTTTGGAACGAACGGCTACAGGCGACAGGTGGTGCAGGGTGGACGGCAGGTCGCAATGTCTTGTCGCCTGGTTTCATGTCCGGGGCCATCGGCGAGGGATATGCCACAACGAGTACCGATGCTGGATTACCTCCAGTCTGGCCCGGAGACCCTACACTCTGGGCGCTTGTGAGCCAAGGAAATGTCAATTCTTACGTGTTGGACACCTTTGCGTACAGATCGCTAGAAGAACAGGCACTCATCGGCAAAAGCCTTGTTCGCAGCTTCTACGGTCGCGACCCAGCGTATTCATACTGGAGCGGATGTTCTCAAGGTGGCCGACAAGGTCTAATGCTGGCTCAGCGATTTCCCACCCGTAAGACATGCCTCCCATTGCCTCTCCTGATCCAGGATTTTGAAGACGAAAGCCCCGAACGTACATCCCCTAATGCCCACGGCACAACCACTGACCTTCTCCAACTATAGTGTATGATGGAATTGCCGCTGCAGCGCCGGCCATTTACTACGGTCAACTAGGCCAGTCGCAGTTCATACCTCAGCTCATCATGAATGAGATGAAAGCGTACCCTCTGGACTGCGAGATGGACTACCTCACGGAGCAGGCTGTCGCTCACTGTGATGCCAATGACGGCGTGGTCGACGGTATCATTTCAGATGTTGCGTCATGCGATTTCGATCCTATGAGCGAGATCGATTCCAGCTTTCTATGTTTCTCAACTAGAGCCAATATGACTGTGAGCCAAACAGCGGCCGTAGTCGCCAACGCTAGCTGGAATGGCTATTTCAATAGCCAATGGGAGTTCATATGGCCCGGATGGAACTACGGGGCCAACCTTACAGGTTTAGGCTATGCGCCTAACGAAACCAATCAGACTGCGAACGCCCTGCGAACTCCCAATTGGTTTGCGCAGTTATATCTCGAAAGGAATGCAAGCTTTGACAGTGCAACTATTACAAGTGACATGTTTGACAGATATTGGAAACAATTCATCAAGATTTACGACGATACTATCGGTACTAGTGACCCCGACCTCTCCGATTTTAAAGCTGCGGGCGGTAAGATGATCACATGGCATGGAATGGTAATTAGTCCCAACACCCTGCCCTACCAAAAATCCTGGAGTACTTCCATGCCTTTTATACCTACGGCTAATCATGGGTCGTGATGACCAGGCCGACGAGTTGATCCAAACCAAAGCCACCGAGCGCTATTATCAAGAAGTCACCAACTTATTCCCAGATGTTCAAGATTTCTACCGTTACTTTGAATCACCTGGGGCGGGACATTGCGGTTATACTGGTGTCGGTGGACAACCAACAACAGTCTTCGACGCATTGCGCGCATGGGTCGAAAACGGTACGGCTCCTGATGTTCTCCCCGTCACTTTCAACGGAACCACAAACAATGTGTATAATCGAAACTTGTGTCTATATCCCCTGAAGCAGGTCTACAAAGGGTCAGGGGATCCGACAAGCTCAGACAGCTTCGACTGCGTCTAAAGAAAAGCGGACGAGGAGGTGGAGGAACCAGTGGAGTCAGCAATTGGCTTAGAGCAGCTAGACCGTGTTTGCTTCAGGACGTTCTGCCCCAGCCTTCTTTGAAGTTGTTACAGTCAGGCGCGACCACGCAAGGCTGTGGACACGGAGATCTCTCTCTTCGGGGGTGAGAAAGGTTTCAGCTATGTGCTCTGGCAGGTGGCCTGGAGGATCTTAGCAGACGCTTTTCGAGCCGTAATGCTACTGGTTACCTCTCTAATTGCACTTCCTGGAAGCAGGATGTATGTACAAGTCGGCAAAATCGATCGTGCTCAGGACTTTTTCGCGGACCTAAACCACCCTTTTCTTGCATCCATAGCAGAGGGACCTGATTTTATCCCGTCATATGCGCGGTCCAGCCACTCAAATGCCCCGACAGCTTGCATTACCTTTCGCTGCGGTATCTGCTCTTCTTTGCAGTAAACGAACACGGTACTGTTACCGTACCACAGCCTGGGCTTCTGGGCCTTGAGGACCTCGCCGCCGCTGGCACGGGGTGTTGAGAACAATACTATCAGATGGTCTGGAAGAATAGTGGATGTAATCTCGGCTCGCTCACACTCTCCACGTTGCGGGGATGATCGGGAGACAAGGATACTATTTATTACCAAAAAATTAGGGGTAAATTTCGCAATGTTTTAATTCAACCTAGCCTCTCCTTCGGATGATTTCGTTCTTGGTCTCTAGGTTCCGAGGAATGGACGTCAGGTCTGCAAGTCTCCGGGTGACAATGATGCTTTCTTATAACCTCAATCAGGATTTCGGGCTCAGATGTTCCGGAGGCCCAAATTTTAGAGCTTTGTCTGACCCAGATGTTCGGACCAACACTGACCGAAGTGAACGGAACGGCCGAATGTTTCGGAGAGACTATTTGAGCCGCGTAGAGGTCCTCCCAGATCGCCAGCCTCGACCTCGTGAGTGAAGAGTCCGATCGTGTCCCTGCTTATATAGGTGAGCACCCAACCATAATGCGATCAGAGGAAGAAGTGTTCTAGTTCAGGGAATGTACGATTGATCCCGCAAATCTGTACCCATGTCTTCGTCACCGAACTACGGATTTCTCAGAGTCCAAGGGGACCATATTGTCGATGGTAGCGGGCGGCGAGTGAGCCTCAAAGGCACGTCCCTAGGGGGTTGGCTCTGGTAAGTGCGTTCGGCGGGCACTACGATCCAAACCTGACCCTATACGGCAGTATGGAAAACTTCATGACTGGATTCCCCGGCACAGAATCCGCCATGCGGTCCGCCCTACTCCAGGTCCTGGGGAAAACTGACTACGAGTATTTCTTCGACCGATTCCTGTACCATTTCTTTACCGAAAAAGACGCGCAATTCCTAAAATCTCTTGGATTCAATTGTCTCCGAATTCCCTGCAGCCATAAGCACCTGGACGACGACATGAACCCTCGATTTTTTGTAAGGGAAGGCGTGGGCTTCAGACACCTTGATCGCGTGATCAACATCTGTGCTAACGCTGGAATCTACGTGGTTTTGGAACTACATACCGTCCCAGGCTGTCAAAATCCCGATTGGCATTCAGACAACAACACCAGCTATGCAGCATTCTGGGATTTCAAAGACCATCAGGACCGCCTTGTGTGGCTATGGAAGGAACTTGCCTCTATTTACAAGGACAACCATTGGGTTGCCGGATACGACCCGATGAACGAGCCGTGCGATCCCCAGCATCTCCGCTTACCGCTATTTTACGACCGCCTCATCAAGGAAATTCGACAAGTTGATCCCGATCACATCCTTTTCCTCGAAGGCAACACATTTGCCATGGAGTGGCGTGGCTTTGAGGCTATCATCGACACGCCCAACTGTGTATACTCGATCCATGACTACGCAACCATGGGTTTCCCTTCCGCACCGGGTCCATACGAGGGTCACCAAGAGCAGAAGGAGAAGCTCGAAAGGCAGTTTAGGAGAAAATGCAACTTTCTGAACAAGCATAGTCTCCCTATCTGGAACAGTGAGTTCGGCTGCCCTTGGGCACAACCCAACTGGGATCCCGACATTGAAGCCCTCGACCGTAAAAAGTACGCCATGATCGATGCGCAACTGGAGATCTACGAAAGGGCCGATATTGCTGCCTGGGCAATCTGGTCGTACAAAGACATCGGTGTAATGGGAATACTGAACGCTTCGCGTCAATCCCCTCTCAGCAAGCTTGTCGAGCAGCTTGGGGAGACAAAGAAGCAACTGCACCTCGATAGCGCGTTGATGTATCCCAATCAAGAAATCGAAGATGCCATCACTCCTCTCATTGACTGGATTAACAAACATGCACCCAACGCCAGTCACACGTACCCAACCATCTGGAACACTCGCACCCATGTCGTTCGGAACGTCATTCACAGCTTCGTGGCGAACACGTTCTGTGAAGAGTATGCCCAAAAATTCCAAGGCTTGAGCAGGAACGCACTGGAAGAATTGGCCAAAAGCTTCGCCTTTGATCAGTGTGTCCAACGAGAGGAGCTATATTCGATACTGAAGAAGTACACATTGAAAAACTGATGCATCAAGGACATAATCAGACGTCTTATGGAGAGAGGCTCTTTTTTAGGGTTTGGATTGCGTGGCGAGAAAGTGAGAGTATGATGGCATGATCTTGTCGGGTCATCTTTTGTCAATTTACCTCTCGAAAGCCCTTTCTTCGGAGTTCTGGTCGCTGAAGGACCTCTTGGTGGACATATAATACGACAAACCACTTCGTCACATCTTATTTGGGTTGATAGAGAAAAATGGATAGTCGTTCCGAAGGATACTTTCCAGCCGCCTAAGGTAATCCATCACAACGCATTATTGTCACCTTCCTGGTATGTACATCGTGGTGAATTTCGTTCTGCATAGTCCTTGAAAATGATCAGTTAAGTCGCACGGACTGCTGCCTCTGGGTACGGGTCAAAATGGGAACGAAGATGGTTCCCTTTGCTGACGCATTTTCCGAAAGCATGTAGACCCGGGGCAGAAGGGTTATTCGAGGTCTTACATTCTAGTCACGGAGAATGGGATGAGACGCTCAGAAGAATCATTGATTTTCCTAGAGAGATGCCAGTAAAAGTCACAGCTGCTGATTCAAGGCACTAACTCAACAGTCCTGCGTCTTACAAAAGGTCACCAGAGCTTTTCAAGAGACAGAAATCCGAGAGAAAGACGGTCGTGGCCTTTCCACCAAAACGCACATTTGAACACGCCCTGAAGCAGGATTCCCGACGCCATCCTGCTCCCGAATAGTTTCTGTATTCCACCCTGGCCAAGGGGAAAAGATGTCCAGACCCAATCAGACGTCGTTACAGGAGGAATGTGACAAGCAGTGGCTCCGAACGAATATTGCCGGCGTCGGATCTGTCCAGTCCTCCGCTTAAGCTTTCACCTCAGTGAGTCCCTCGACGTGGTTCACTGCCTCGCTGTGCTTTGCGTTCAGCTCCATGCTCACATAGTGGACGGCTTCTTCGAAGCTCTCCTTGCCGTCGTAGATTATGGCGATCTCCTCCAACGTGAGTCCCTTCGTCTCGACGAAAGTGAAGTATATTATGGCGATCATAAGAGCGTTGAAACAGCACTGTGGAAGATAGTATCGCCAGCCAATAGCCGCGAGACCCACAGGGTTCAAATAGCTGGAGCAGAAGGCCGAGACATTGATGGAAAAGAGCGTGATGGCAAAAAAGATCGCTCGCTGCTTGGTCGTAACATTCTCGAGAGGATACGCGATAACCAGAGGGACCCAACACATGGAGGTAAAGAAATTGTAGATGAAGATGATGACAACGACGCCGATACCCAAGCCTTTGTGTCCGTGCTTGACATACTCGGCAGTCAGCGCTGTCCAGATGATAAACGAGGCCGTCATCCCTGTAGTGGCAAACAGAAACATTGTCCGGCGTTTGACCTTTGGAATGACGAAAGCGGCGATGATTGCCGTGAGCCAATTGACGATGGTCATGATGCCGTTGATCAGTGTCTTATCCTTGGAAGAGGTGAGACCGACCTGGTCCAGGATCTGTGGAAGGTAGGCCGTCACAAAAGATCCCCCAAGCGCCTGTGAGCCAACCGCAGTGACAATACAAATCCAGAGTCTGTGGCGGTTGCCCTTGGTACCCAGAATGGTCTTTAGGCCTTGCCAGTTGGCCTTGATCATGGTCTTGTCGGCCTCGATACCGCCCATAATCTCCTCCATTTCGACACGGATAATTTCATTCTCGACACCGTTGCCGTGATACTTGATCAGGATTTGCCGTGCCTCTTCGATGCGACCTTTGCTGATCAGCCACCGCGGGCTCTCGGGGCAAAACCACACCATGACGACTTGGTATGCAGGCAGGGCCAACTGAAGGATACAAGGCAGCTTCCAGGACCACTGAGACATCATGCGGAATGTTCCAAAAGTGATCCAGGCGCCAATGATGAAACCGATGTAGATGTTTGTGTTGAAAAAGGATGACAAGGCTTCACGCTGCTTCGGGTGAACCAGCTCCACGACGAGCACGGAAGCTGCACACTGCTGAATGAAAGCTCCAAAGCCGAGCAGCAGCTTTCCGCCAGTGAACATGCGGAAATTGGAAGAGAATGTTTGCATAATCACCATGCCGACAATCAGTAAGGCGCCACCGGAGATCAGAGGTCGGCGTCCGAAGCGGTCATTCAACGGGCCGCCGACAATGCACCCAATGATGCCTCCGACAGACATGGACGCACCAAAAAATCCCAACGTTGATCCCTGGGGTTGCCAAAATTGTTCATGAAGGTGTCGATGGATTGAAGCCCATTTGTCAACGCGTTGTCGAAACCCCAAGCGGCGGTGGTGATCATTGGGGCGATCAGGAGGAGGTAGAGCCGGACCAGGCTGGGAGATTTGTACCACGGTGGGCATTGCTTGCAGAGCTCCCGAAGGCGGCCTTCGAATATGCCATCAGCAGATGCCATGGGCTGTGAAATACGAGAATCTCTCGACCTCGAAAATGCAATCACCGGCGTGTGGACAGGACCCCTTGGTCAGTGGCCGATATCTTCTTTGGAATGGTGTTGAGGAAGACACAGGACTGAACTTCTCTCACCTGCGACTGAGCGAGTGCTCTATATTGTCTTGCTTCCGTTCATCTACCTAGTCTAGATCTTTCGCACGGAACAGGTTAGAATTGGTGCGGGCAGGCCACCAGCGTCCCCTGAAGTTCGGGCCATGTCCTCCTTTCGCTACAATGATCAAATTCGCCACCCGCGTTCGGTTGAATGATGCACCGACAAACAAGAGAGAAGAAGCCAGTCTGCAATTGTCTGTTTTGGAGGATAAGGTTGTTCTAAGTTTATTGGGTAGGTTGTGCCAGGGTGACCGGCTTGACCCAGCTTCTGTGAGTGCTTAAGGCAGTGAAAGATGGCATCACCCCTCTTTGAGACGGTGGTGCGCCCTTGTGAACTTCTGGTCGAGTCCCCGGCTGGCTGGGATCTAGTCCAAGGGCACCCTGAGGTTCCAAGTACGTAGTCATAGCAGGTAAGTGCTTGGATGTTGCAGCCGAAAATTACCGACAGCCAATGATAGGAGTTGATCTATATACAATGTGGGGCGTCACTCTCGGCTATCCCAGGCTGAGGTTGCTGCCTCAAGCGTAAACAATACATTTATCCAGGATATTTAGCCATAATCGAATTCATGGTCAAGAACTTTAGCGGCGCTCAATACTCCGTACACTGGGTACTGTGTCCGATCGGCACATCTACAGCCGACTGAGATCGGAGGATTGGGCTGGGCTTCCCAAAACGTGATACCCATGCATTCTGCGTGCTGGCCTGGCCAGTCGTCACTTGGTCTACAAGAGTCATTTGCAAGCCCGATAGTGCGGTATACGCATTGAGCAGAAGTCAAAATCTTGGACAGCCTGGCATGGAACGAGGTGGTCCCATCGTGTCGGACGTGCGATTCGAGCACTGTCAACCAGGTCACACTCTGGGACTTCCGTACGATCGACCCCGTCTATCCTGGAAATTTTACAATGTTGACTCGGCCTTCCAGCAGGCAGCCTACGAGGTCGAAGTCTGCGCTCCGAGTACAGGCACGGGAATGACGCTGTTATGTTGCCGCAAAGTCAACTCGAGCCAGTCGCAGCTGGTCCCTTGGCCTCACGACGAAGCATTGATATCAAGACAGGAAGTTTCTGTGCGCGTCAGAATTTGGTCATGTGACGGTTCTTCTTCTCCATGGAGTCAGCCAGCAACATTCGAGACTGGACTTCTGACACGGGCAGATTGGCACTGTCAACGGATTGCTGCACCTGGCATAGCGCCAACTGCAGGGCATTTCGCGGAGCAACTCTTCCGCAAAGCATTCTGGCTCCGGTCCCGTGTTCGCCGGGCAAGGCTGTACGTTACAGCCCAAGGCTTGTATCAAGCAGAAATCAATGGACAGCAGATTGGAGACTTCCTCGCACCCGGATGGACAAACTACAACCATCGAATCCTCCATCAAACTTATGATGTGACCCACCTGCTGACACGATCGCCGGAAGAGAACTGCATTGGCCTACGGCTCGCGGAAGGATGGTTCTCTGGAAGAGTCGGGTTCCTGGGCGGCCGTCGTCACCTTTGGGGACCCCATCCGACCATCATGGCCTAGCTGGAGATTGTCTACGACGATCAGAGCTCAGAGCGGATCTGCACGGACAAAACATGGCTCACCACGGCAGGTCCAGCCACGGCCGCGGAAATCTACGACGGAGAGAAGTACGACGGCACCGCCGAAATCGACGGATGGTCACAGCCAGGCAATCCCACCCACGAGTTCGATCCCGCCCTCTGGCGTGAAGTGGGCGAGAAACCACCGCTCTCGGACACTATTCAGATCGTCCCGGACTTTGGAGCACCGGGTACTCGTAAGCAAACGATCGCGCCTGTTCAGAAAATCATCACGCCCTGCGGGAAAGTGGTCCTCGACTTTGGTCAGAATCTGGTGGGCTACGTACGGATCAAGGCTGTAAAGGGGAAAAGAGGAGACCGGATCTCTCTTGAACATGCAGAGGTGATGGAAAACAACGAGCTGGGGCGACGACCACTCCGGATCTGTCAAGCCCTGGATCAGTATACTTTGAAAGGCACCGAGTCTGGGGAACAGTGGGAGCCTAGGTTCACCTTCCATGGCTTCCGTTACTGCCAGGTGGACGGCTGGCCAGTCGAGGCGCCTGAGCTGCAAGACTCGCTGGTTGCCGTCGTGTGCCACAGCGAGATGGAGCCTATCGGCCACTTTCGTTGCTCGGACAAGATGCTGAACAAGCTGCACGAAAACACCGTGTGGAGCATGAAAGGCAACTTCCTCTCCATCCCTACAGACTGCCCCCAACGCGACGAGCGTCTGGGCTGGACTGGGGACATTGCATTGTTTGCACCATCTGCGGCCAAGCTGTACGACTGTTACAGCTTCTTGCAAAATTGGCTGGTCGATGTTGTCTACGAACAGGACCTTCGCGGTGGAATCCCCCCTCTCGTTCCACCAAACGCGTTTCAAGGACTCGAGTTTTGGGGCGACCCATGGCCGTGTTCAATTTGGCACGACGTCACCATCCGCGTGCCCTGGGCATTGTATGTCGCCTCGGGAGACCAGGACATCCTGGCCAGAAACTACGGGAGCATGAAGACTTGGCTCACGCAGATCCCACGGGATATGAAGACGACAACAGCCAATCGTCTCTGGGACAGAGAGTGCTTCCAACTAGGCGTAAGTGGGCCCCCAGTTTCGAGCAGCCGCGCGCCTGCCGTTTATGAGCATATGACGATTGACGTTGAGCGACATAGGACTGGTTGGATCCGTCTGCGCCGCCAGACAAACCTGCAACCAGCCAAACAGACGCGACGCTAGTGGCAGATGCCTTCTTGGTGCATAGTATGGACCTTGTCTGTCAAATCGCAGAGGTCCTGGGTGACACGGAGGGAGCCAGGGTGTTCGAAGCCGAAGCACACGCCACGCGCCAGCAATTCGTCCACGAGTACATCAGCGCCAGCGGTCGCGTAGTCTCCGATTCGCAAACGGCCTACGCACTAACCATCTGCTTTGATCTCCTCCCCACGGCCGCACAGCGAGCGAATGCAGGCGAACGGCTGGCAAAGCTCGTCCGCCAGGAGCACTTCAAGATCAACACCGGCTTCGCGGGCTCTCCGTTCATCTGCGAGGCCCTGGTACGAGTCGGACACGCTGCTGTAGCATATGCCATGTTGCTCAATCGAGAGTGTCCCTCGTGGTTGTACCCGGTCACAATGGGCGCGACGACGACGTGGGAGCGTTGGGATAGCATGCTTCCCGACGGCTCCATCAATCCCGGCGAGATGACCTCGTTCAACCATTACTCCCACGGGGCGGTCATCTCCTTCCTGCACGAACGACTGGCCGGCCTCCGGTGTGTGGAGCCAGGCTGGAAGAAGAGTCGCGCCGCTCCGGTAATCTCAGGCGGCATCACCGGTGCGGAAGTCAGCTACAACACTCCCTACGGGAAAGTGGGCTGCTCATGGAGCATTGAAGGCGAGCAGTTTACCTTGACTGTCGAAGTCCCTCCAACGACCACCATGGAAGTAGTCCTGCCGGCCGAGAGTGGTGGGCGGACCGAGCTCGTCAAGGCCGGAAAGTGGACCTTTTCTGGTCGTCATCGACCCGACCGTGCTTGGCCGGTGACACCAATTTCGAAGATGCCTTGGGCAGAAGGCTAGTTGGTTGTAGGAGCCGCTGTAGCATAACGTAGTCCCCTTGACCGGGGCAGGTCAGCAAGATTGGACCACTCTTATAGGAGCCACAAAGCAGTCCAAAATGTTGAAAATTTGGTCAGGGACGAGGATCAAAGTCCAAATGTATGCAAAAAAGTGAATACCACGAGGAGATTTGGACCATCTAGTAATCTACCATCTAGCGAGTCCCGACCCCCTTGCTCTCTGTCTATTTTTACTGCCCTGCCCAGAGAAACGTTTGAGGAAGCGTGAAATCGGCGGACAGAACATGGTCCAGAGGGTCGGCACTCCGAGAGATAATGACCGTGAATACACCAGCCTCGGCCATCCATTTTCCGTGAACCTCTGACCAATATGACACCGCATACTTGTCAAGCTCGACTTTGATCTCCTTGCTCTGGCCCGATGCAATATTGGCTTTGGCGAAGGCCTTCAGCTCTTTCTTTGGTCGCAAGACCGTGCAGTCTGCATCACCAACATATACTTGCACGATCTCTGATCCGTCGACCGTGCCCACGTTGCTGACGCGGACGGAAAGGCGCATAACATGATCTTCGCGGGCTTCGAACTCACTGGGTACTTGGAGATTCGAGTATTCGAAGCGAGAGTAGCTCAGCCCGTAGCCGAAATAGAACAGGGGCTCCCGATCAACCTGTTCATAGTATCGGTGACCGATAAAGACGCCTTCGCCGTACAGGATGTTTTTGTCGGATTTGCCGTACATGAGATAGGTCGGAGTATCCTCCACTCTCTTGGGAAACGTCACCGACAACCTAGCTGAAGGATTTACGTCGCCAAAGACGACATCCGTGATGCCGTGGCCCGTCTCCTGGCCCCCAAACCAAGCGTGAAGAAGGGAGTTGGCTTTTGACAGCCATGGCATCCCTATGGGTAGGCCCGACTGCGTCACGACGATCTGTACGATACAAGTCAATAGAATTGCACAACCTTTTGTTGAGTGCGTGGGCGTCCTTGCTCACCGTATTCGGATTGGCATCGAGAACTTTCTTAATCAGTTCGTCTTGTCGACCAGGGAGTCTCAAGTGGCGGCGATCAAAGTTTTCGAATTCGTGGTCGGAGCTAAGGCCAGCGAGGACAACCGGCACGTCCACCCGCCGAGCCAAGGCAACCGCATTGGCGATTGTTTTGTCCTCGTCGAGCACTTCGTAGGCACCGAGCCGGAGTCCTGGTGCAGGAGCCGCTCCGACGACGAATGAGTGGATGCCTTCGTTTGTCAAGAGCACTTCGAGCTCGATCGATTCGCCCTTGTTCAGATCGAGGTCAACACACTTCTCCATGGTAAAGGAGTTCAGCATTGGGGTGGCGGCAGTCTTCTCCGGCACCTCGGACCAGAGATCGATCGATTCCCGGCCGTTGACAAAGAGCCTTGCCTTGCCAGAAATAGACAACCCAAATCGAAACCGGCCCGAGTTGGGTGGAGCATATGTTGCCTTGGCGCTGACGAACAGTACATTCGGTAAGAATAGCGGTATGCTGTCGTTGAAGGGCATCGAAGATTTCAAGGACACTGTAGCGTACAGGCAACGAGCGTCAGGCTTGTCGTGTGGATTCTCTCCGTAAAATTGCACAAGGAACCCGGGCTCCGACGACCCAGGCACCGTGTGACCGGACGCGATCAAGGGGGTGAACCTATGCGCTGAGCAAAAACCTCAGTTCAGGTGCCAAAACATTGTGTGCAATAGAAAGGTTGCCCCTTACAGTAACAGCCCAGCTGATATTCGACGGCGTTTTCGCCAACGGCTTCTACAAAAGCATCATAAGGGGTGTTCAGGTAGTAAGCGTCGACCTCGGAGCTACCACCTCCACAGACAGCCGGATTCTGAAAATGATAGCCAATCAGGCCGTAGGTCCTGGGAGCACTCTTCGAAAGTGGAAGTCTGTTATCGTTGTTTTTCAAGAGGACGACTGACTGAGCTGCAACTTGGCGAATGAATGCTCGAGACGCGGGCGTGTCGTTGTAGGGTTTGATGTCGGTTGGTGGAGGCCGTTGGACCTTTCTGATGAAATTCAGGACCGCTCTGACGCGGCGATCAATGGTTGCCCGAGGCACCTTACCAGCCTCGACGGCCCAGGTCAAGAGCTTGCCGCGCCAGAGAGAGGGACCGGGCATTTCAAGGTCCATGCCGGCCTCGATCGATCCTGTCGTGCTGTACGTACCCCACCAGTCGCTGATCACGATTCCGTCCCATTTGAGATCGTCGCGAAGGATTTCGTCGAGCAGGTGTTTGTGCTCGCTCACGTGGGTGCCGTTGATCTTGTTGTAAGATGACATGATCGACCATGGATTCGCCTGTCTGACCGCAATCTGAAATGGCAGGGTGTGCATCTCTCGAAGAGTCCTTTCCGTCATGACACAGTTGTCTTCGATCGAGTTCCACGACTGGTCATGAGCCGCGTAGTGCTTGAGACAAGCAGCCACTTTACGGCTCTGTACTCCGTCTATATAGGCAGCGGCAAGCGCTCCACTTAACCACGGATCCTCGCCAAAGGCCTCAAATCCACGGCCAATCAATGGGGAGCGTTGTAGGCAGGAGACCGGCCCCAGCACCACCTGTATGTTCTTCCCTCGCGCTTCATCGCCGAGAAGTTCCCCAACGCCACGTAACAAGCCCGAGTCGAACGTGGCACCCAGGGCAGTGCCACATGGCAGCATGCACGTACGAGGCTAGACAACAACGCGTCAGGATAGGAGTCCCAGCCAGAAAAAAAAAGGGGGGGGGCAACTTGCCCCATTCCAGAACTGATATCCTCTCAGGCCAAGCGGACCATCGGACATCTGTACGAATTTCTTTAGCGAGACGTGGCGATTTCCCAGGGAGGCACGGTATGACCTACATTGATACTGGGGACATTGAGCCTCTCAATGCCCGCTGTTTTGCATCGCCCCACACCCGAAAGCAGACCAACCTTCTCTTCCAGACCGAGTTGTGAGAGCACCCATTCGACGTCGAGTTCACCTCCGGATGCCATGATGATGGTGATGACGATGAAGGATGTGGTGCGAAGGGAAAAGAGGAATAGTTGCAGGAGCAGCTGTGCTGGTCCTAATAAAGGAGGCCTCCGATTCAGGTGTTGCCGTGCATTAAGACTGTTGAAAGCTCGCTCGCTTTTCACCCGAGCCTTGGTGGGACCAGCCACGAATGGATGATCCCTCACTTGTACTGGCCGAGCTAGAGCGCGTCGTCCCAGCCCGATCTTCGCAGTGGGCTTCTTTTCCTCTTCCAACTGTTGAGTCTCCCTGGTTTCGGGGGCCACCCAATCCGCTGCTGCAACTTGTTCATGAAAGCCTCGGACTCAGCGGCGAACTTTAATGCCTCCGGTGTATGCGGGGGAAATCAGGGCGACAGCCAGAGTGGCAATAGCCACCTCCACTATGATTGACCATTTCATGATACTGCTAAATAGCATAGGGTTGCGAGGGTCGTTGGGGATTCGTCAGGCAACACATGGGTTCGTGTCTGGATCTGAGCCTGCGTACGGATACGAGGCTACTTCCGGCGTCAATCTGCCCTGGTCCCAGACCATGCGGCAGAAGGGAATGCGGTTTTGAATGATAGGCTTCAATCTCGTCGTCGTCTTTTCCGTCAGGATCATGGTTACTTACGGTTGCCCTGTTGAGGTGGTACACGTTGGAAGTCGCCGATTGAAATTGAACCGTGGAGGACGTGGCTTGCGCAAAACGGACGGTACGCATGAAGCACAGCGGACTGCTGCCGCAGCGATCTTCGAGAACTAAACACGTGAGATTTATGATCAATATAAAATTAGTCTCGAAAGAAGAACAAAACACCCAGAGAAAGCTTCCAGCGCACTCTGATGTACAAAGAGAAAGGAATGGTAATTTCGGAGCGGCGGGAGAACATTTATCGTCGTCCGAGCGTGTGGGTATCAACCAGGCTTTGACGGGAAGGTAAGTTGGGTGCGGTCCACAGCACGGTGTCACGACGGGTGGTGCTCAGCAGTAATGTGGCTTTTGTGCACGAGTTATGGTGTGCACGAAAGCCAACTCGGAATCATGGCAACAATAGAGGCTCGCCCGCTGTATCAGTGTTTGTGGCGTCCAATGTCGCCCCTTTCGATGGCAGTAAGGACGTCCAGAGGGATCGGCCATCTGCCCAGGAATCGAGCCGCCATAGTCAAGACAGCACAGCGAAACACATCCGTTGTTAGACACAGCCTTTCATGCGGCCACGGGAGCACGTAGGGAGCTTAAGGAAAGGAAGGTCGACCGAACAAGGCAGCTGGGCAGCCTTGGAGGTTGTGACTGGCAGGATCGCCAAGTGATATAAAGACGGTCGACACCAGTAATCGGTCGAGTTCCTCGGACTAGTGTCGATACTCACAAAGTAATTACCTAATAGTATGGAGTTAGATAGGTCCTCATGGCTGTGTTAGAATCTATTATGTCCTCCATAGAGCAAGGCTGGGAAGGTGACATAACATCCAGGATAGGAAGAAGATAAGTATATTGGTATGCTGATGTGGGGGTGTAGTCAATAGACTAACAGGCTAATATACTATTCTACATTTCCTAATTAGGAAACTCTCACAAGTACAATAGCTATACGAAGACTCAATCGAATTCATCGAACCAACGAACAACTCTACATCGAGATAGAATACGTTCGATGGGACACTTTCTAAGCTACATGTCTGGCGATATTTTATCGACTAGTGATAAATAAGTTATTACTAAATAGATTGCTGATTATATTCGTGAACTTCGGGTACTAGAGCCCTCATAAAAAGGAGTTGTTACTTCGGTAATTAGAACTTGGATAAGGTCTTAACCACTGAAGGGAATACAATCTCTTCGGCCCTTTCATTAGCGATCAGAAATTCCATTCAGTTCTCTGTGGATCTATCCCATCAGAAGATTATATACGAGGCTACGACGAAGCCGTCAGGTGGTGCTATACCCATCAATAAAGGACCTATGTCTCCCACGGCGACCTCTGTCTACACAATGTCATCCTTCGCAATTACAAGATCGTTGCCACCATTGATTGGCAACTCGCTGCATGGTATCCGAAATTGGGAGGACACAAAGGCCCATTTTTGGACTTCCCCGCATGCCTGACTGATATGTCGCATTTGAGCGAGCTATACAAAGATATGATGATGATGATTTGAATGCCGAACGTGCTCTATGGCGGTATTTGGATCAACCGGGAATGGTGTCAAGTTAGAACTCGTAGGCCACTGGTAAGGGGTTGCTCGAGCAAGCCTTCGTCTCGGTAAGGAACTTTTAGGCCACACCTCCACCAAACTACTAATAGTTTAAATAAGCCTTGAGATTGAAGGTACGAATACAAACTTCGATTTTTGCCTTGAGAGTGGCGGCTCATGTGGAAATGCTTGCTCCATGTATTGCAGAGAGACCGGAGCATGCTGACCGTATTGCAACTGTTTGTATCTGCCGATATTGAACAACGTACAAGCCAGAAAAGGATGCAACCTTGGCGGTCTCTGCTGCTTTCCAGGGCTTTGTCGGGGCGGTGCTCCATAGCTTGGGGAAACCCAGATAATACCGTATTTGCAAATTCGCGAATCGCATCACGGAACCTTGTTTCGTACCTTGACAGCCGACTTCGCGATGAAGACGAGGACGCCAAGTTCATTTTCGTCCGCGCCAATGACCACTGTTAATACTATATACCGCCCTAAGGCAGATAACGAGCGGGGTCGTCGCCGCGATCAAACTTGTATTTGCGGCAAGGACTGCACTACGAAGGGGCCACGGCCCCCCCTCCCCAAATCACCCCTCCATGTCTACATGGACAGATAGCCTCGAACGCCTATCATTCCACGGTCATAGGGACCTTGAGCATTCCTGGCGCTCCCGTCCGGGCAAGAGATATTTAAAAAAAAAAAAAAAAAAGTCCAAAAACTCATGGTTAGCAGGCTATTTATTGTTCGCTACCTAAAGTGGATACCTGAGGCTCGGCCCTGAGCAAACACGGTTGTGTTCTACCTGGGGTGAATGTGCCACTTGTCTCGAGGTCATCTGCGGATGACGGAGATGAACGACATGGCGTGATCGGTGGGTGCTATTTGCATGGCTTCACGGATGGTGAGGCGGAAAGGAGTCTGCAGCTTTGCGAGAATATGTACTTTGTTGAGCTTGCAAGGAGTTTAGAGCGTGATGGCTCCGGGTCTCTTTGTGCACATTTGGGCCGCTAACAAGCACGTTTCGCTTTCGCCATACTTCTTGATGCTGGGTGGCCGCTCTGTCTTCTCGGCGGGCATCTGCAGCACTGATGGCTTGAGCGGGTGGTCATATATATGGAAATATGACGATATCAGCTATGGCACCAATAGTCGGCGGTTTAGCCCATGGTCACTAGTGCTAGTAGCATAGAAGACAGCAGCCGAACAGTAAAAGCAACCGGAACTCTGGACGAGCGCAATCTGCGCTGTGCTGCATACGTAGTCACGGTCTTTTCACACCTACAACTCACAAGTTTGTCCGCTGGTCGCGAATCCCGATGAATTTGATTATCTATCCGCACGTAGATCACGCGCCCCCTACCCGGGTAGCTACTGATTTCCGTTCCAAGGGATTTCATTGCTCCAATTGGGCAGTCCCCGTTGAGTAGGAATAGTCGTGCTATGAAGACCCGACATGGCGTAGAGATCTTCCTGATTCATACCAGGAAAATCACTGGCAGCATAGCTGCCGAAAGCTGCGTTTACTTGAGATGGGTCAAAGGCGTGCATGGGCCAGTCTTCCGTGTTCAGAAATTGAATATTCGAATCTGTGAGCTGGTCGATGGATCCTGTAATTTCTGGAGCCCTCGGCTCAATTGGGGCGTTTTCATGACGGTTAGATGGTGCCGCGCTCTGTGTCGCGTTCCGTATTGGAGCCATTGTGAAGACATCTTCTTCTGAATCTTCAACTGCCGGGTTCATAGATGGTTGGGACGACTGGGACTGTGTCTGTCTCAAATAGCTCGGCAGGGCAATCTCGAAAGCCTCATCCACGATCACTTGAGTGGAAAGATCCAAGGGCGGGTATTGCCCAGGCTGCTGGCGTCGATCAAGCATCATGCTCATCAATTCCTGGGGGCCAACCCACCGAAACAAATTCACGAAGTGATTGATCATAGTTGCGTCCGCGGTGGTAACAAAGGGTGATGATGGCCTCGGCGCTCCCGGGAACAGTACACTATAGATGTTGAACCAAAGCTCACATGGATCTCCTCGTATGATGCGACGCTTGATGGCTTGAAACTGGTCGTCGGTCATCTTGTCTTCGTATCTAGGGCCCTGCAGTTCGCATGGTGGTCGCTGCCTGGTGTGCTCATCGAGCTGTTCGCGCGACTTGTATGACTTGAAACAGCTTCCACAATAGTAGTCCGGTCTCTTATGGATGCGATACAGATGCTGCTTTAATCTAGAGATGTCGCGCAGGCAGCAACTACTGCAGTTCCAATAGGCAGGTTCAGCCAGATTCTCCCGGGAGTATTTGGACGGATTGAATTTGGCGTAAGGACAAGCAAATAATTTCGATGGTGGCTCTTCTTCGTCCACTTTTCTCTTCAAGACCGGGGAGCGCTTCGAAGAATCGTCATCATCCGGCTCGTCGGGGCCGATACCACGTGGGTGCAACCCTAGCAGGTTGCTCGACTGACTTGTTGCCGAAGTCGTCCTTGTAGCTGGCTGCGAGGAGGACGCGGATTCTGAAGAAGATGTGTGTTCCGACCCGACTCGCATTCTCGGCCTGTGCTGATAAGACCCGTGGATGCATCGATCTACAATCCGCTGAGCCAGACCATTGAGGAAAGTAGCAGTGTTGGAATTGAAGCGAGGCGGAGGTATCTCAGTAGCCCGGCTGTTCTCCATGCCCATAAATGAGAGCTCGCCTTCAGAGATGCTTACAAGGCTTCTCGAGCTGTCGACTGCCCTGCTCAAAGAACTCTGTGGCGTGCTTGGGACATAGCTCACTTCTGAACCTGTTGCGTCCGCTGGCAACGCAATGGGCTGAATCACCGGCGAATATGACTCTTGACGAGCACTGGCCGTACCAGACCGCACATCGTCAGCATTTGGCTGAGGAAAGTCTATGGTAGACTCCGAAGCGTAAGTCTCCGCAAAGTTTCTGTGAGAAATTATGCCCAGAGTATCATCTGAGACTTTTGACTGTTCGTTTGCGCCACTAGGAGCTTCGAACAAGTTGTGTTTTAGGTCATTTTCCCTGCCAGAAATTGTAACTGGTCTTCCTACCTCGGAATCGCTCTGGACAATGACGGGGGACGGATAGAGCGACACGAAGACTAATTTGTCGCCGTCACGTACCTCCACCGCTTCGTACATCCAATCTTTGAAATCAATTCCGACCAACGACCAGTCCTCGATTCCCGGACCTCCTGTAACCTCACTCTTCTTATCCCAGCTATTACGTTTGTTAATTCTGGGGAGGAAGTGGGCCCGCAGAAGGTGTCCAGTTGCATCGTAGGTTGCCCAGTATGGTTTCTCATTTTTGCAGGCTATGCAGCCCGCGAGGAATGTTCCACCAGGTTGTGCTTCTTTGCAAATCCACACCCTTCTCGACTGCGCGTGGTGCTGGTCAATGTGCCGACGGAGTTCGTGTTCATCGTGGTATCCTTGCGGGGGATCATGACACAGCGGACAGGGTAGTGTTCTGCGTGGCGGCTGTTGGTGAAATGATTTTTGTATCGTAGCCTTGTGCGCCGCATCTTCATCAAGGTTCGAAATTTTGACGCGGGAGAAGGCGTCAATGCTCTTATCCTCGAAATAATAGGCAGAGTCTGAGGGGAATGGTGCATCTGTCTCGAATTGAGAGGCTATGAAACAAGAAGCCTCTTCACTGGGAGACCGAGAGATAGTTCGAGAGTTGTAGCCCGAGTCCATTATGTCCCGGGGCGAATGCCAATCTCGAGTCTGAGGGTTATCGGACAAGTTGAGGAACGATGGGGCTCTCCCTGACGCGAAAGCGTTATCTGCGAGCTTAGGTTGATATTCTGACTGCTCTTCTCTGGGGGTCAGAAATGGGTGGTCATAGAACGTCTGAGTGAAAAGATCGAACCCTGCAAGGACGAGTAGCATCTCTCTGGGTCGAATAACGGGTTTTAACCACCAACAGCACAGAGTGCGGCTCTCGCACAGATGTTCATAACCATGGTGGTGGCCTTGCTGCGCCAGGCCCCGTTCGTTATAGCTCGAGGCCCAGGCGAATCACGATTGGATGCGTGATACAATAGGCAACGACCAACCGCGTTAGGAAAGGGCCGACAATGCAAATGAGGAGGAGCTGCGCCTTTCCAGTGTTCAGTCACCATGGAAGCGAAGGCCATACAATTTCCCTCCACCGAAAAGTGGTGTTCATTGTGCTAACGAGTTGGTAGTCTTGGTCGAGCGATTCAGCAACTGAATATGTATCTAGGATCCAAACAAAGAACGCTGCGAGGAAAGACGTAGGAGACATAAATTTTACCCATGGCGGCAAGGGGTGGGAAATCTCTCGTTGAGGTCCTTGAAGTGGCGGAATAGCTAGGTCAACCTGCAGCTTTGGCCTTTGATTTAGACGAATCCAGGAAGTAACGCTACCAAAGGTAATGCTACATGTCCACCACCAAATGCGATTCTGTTGCCAAAGTTCCCAGTCTCAGTGGCCGTTGCTGTAGAAGCGGTTTCGCTTGGAGTCTGGTTTGAATCAGATTCGTCAATTCAATCGCCTCTATGTGCCCCACCATCCCCAGTGAAGCACTCACCTCACTGAAGGTCTGTCCGGCCGTGGCTGAAGCTGTCTCGACCGAAGAAGCTGTGGTTGACGTTGAAGATGTTGCCTCGGTGCTTTGAGGTGAACTAACCAAAGTGGACTCGGGAATAGAGCTGCTGTTCGTTGCGGAAGTCGCATTGGCAGGGACGGGCGTTGCATCGAGCCCACACGCTGTTGCGGCCTCGGCGACACTGTCACCATAGTACTGCCAGATATCAAATTCGAGAGCACAATCGAGGCAAGCTTTGAGGGCAGTGGTAAAATTTCCTGTGTCGCAATATCCTTCCGTTCTACCAGCGACAATGACAGCGCCACTGTATCCTGTGTCAATTGAGCCACAACGTAGATTTGATGCACGACCCACCAGTTTGCATGACAGTCGTATTCAGGCGTTCCAGGTTCTTGCCGCCGGTAAACGGGGAAAGAGACTGGATACACAAGTGAAGCTGAGACTGAAGCAACGGCCAGTGCCATCGCGGACAGGAGAGAGTAACGCATTGTGCTGATCGAAGTGTGACAGACCAGACTGAAGATGCAAAGTCTGGAACTGGGAAGCACAGGCCTGGGCGAGAAGGCCATAGAGAGGGGGAGACGACCCTCCCTTATAAACATAGAGCGATATTGCCTCCATTCGTCTCATTTCCGGACCACGCTCGGGCGCTCCAAGCGAAGCACCGTCCCTCCATGAATTGGGGAACCCTCAACAATCAACGCGGGTTTTTTGCGAGAAACACAATCATCCGGCCCTGACAGGTTCAGAGGCGAACAGTTGAACAGTTGGCCCCGAGTCAACGCTTGGCCGCACCGTTGGTTATGCTGAGTGAGACAAGTAGCCCGCAAAAGCCGAACGCCCAGCAACGGCCAAGCACGCCGGCGCCACTTATCTTATCTGATTGCGTAATTTCGAGCCTGACAATCGACGATTTGTCTTTCCAAGCATAAACGGAGGTCAATATTTTGTCTGGCGACGCCCGATGTCGGCAGCTATCTTATCCGATTAGATTGGCAGCGGCTTCGCTTGGACGTGGGCGATGTGCTCCGGTACTGGGTATGGCCATTGCGGTTTGCAAGCAGAGACACTGTCGGGTGGGGGGTCCCTCTTTCTGTCTCTTCCTCCAGCAAGCCAAGTCCAGTCGTAGGTTGGAGCGCTCGGGGAAATGCCTGGCTAGGCATTCGTAGGTTTTCCTTGTGGCTTGGATGAATTGGCTCGCTCTATATCTTCCCTCCTCTCGTTGATGGTGGTGTGATTGAGGCGCGGTTCACTCGATTCTCTTGTCTTCAGAATCCGGTTTCGGTCCAAAGGAAAATCGACAAATAACTCGGTCCTTGCAGGTCAGCGAATTTTCACACTTCGCAGCGTTTGGGGGTTGACAAAATGGCCCTCCTCACGTCTCTTCGGATCTTCTGCTGGGCTCTCGCGGCGAATTACGCCCTTGCTCAAGATCACGGAGAAGAATATGAGAAAACGATGGGCCCAGTCGCCTTCCTGTGGCCGCCTGATCGGGAATGGGGCGCTGCTCAAGATAATACAGCCCCGTGTGGTTCGGCTGCATCGGTGGTGAACAGAACCGAATTTCCTCTGCGTAAGTCAATGTCAAAGTCCAGAGTATGCATGCTCATTTGTACAAGTCAACGGCCAAATCGCGCTCGTCGCTCAAGACGAGTCCTGGTCCATCCAAGTAGCCGTTTCTCACAAAAACGGTGGGTGAAGTAGCGACTCACCAAGACTTCTTGGGTCGTAACTTACAAACCGGCTAGATCCGACGTCGAACGGTGATTTTGAGACGGTGATTGCGGCCACGAGAATCCCAGAACTCAATGAGGGGCACCAGTGCTACCCGATTCCCAATCCATCGGCTGACGTCGAAGCTCTCTCCAACGCGACATTGCAAATTCGATATACTTCGGACTTTGAAGACGACAGAAATGAGACGTACTATGCGTGCGCTGATATTACTTACGTTCCGACCAGCCAATTCACCTACCAAGTGCCATGCTTCAATGCCACTGTTGATGATTTCAACATTACTGATTCTGATCCTGAATCAACTTCTTCGGATTCGGCAGCGGGAGCAACCGCAACATCTGAAGTCACGGGAGATATGGAAGACACGGAATCATCGTCTTCAGGTTTGTCAGGAGGCGCGATTGCCGGTGTTGTCGTCGGGGTTGTGGTAGGCGTTGCTGCTTTCCTTGGTGTGATCTTTTTCATGTGGCGTCGCAGCCAGCAGAAGCGTCGACTTCGTCAACAGAAGGCTTCCCTGAGGAATGTGAAATGGGAAGACCATCATCAAGGGACCGGACCGGGGTCGCAGGCTTCAGCTGGTGATATTGCCCTTAGGAAGCTTTAGTCAGATGAAGGTGTTCGGAATTTGGGAGCATAGTTTCCAAAGAGGACGGGAATTTCGTACGGGATTATCGACCGACGGTTGATGGAAAGTGGGAACTCCATTTCGACGCATTCCAACGTTGATAGCACTCCACTTTGTCACAATGGTCGATAATTCATGATTCGCGTCCGAAGGAGATCAAAGGTGGATTTCTCGACCATGGCGACGACCCCGAAGCCACCCAGCATATGCCAAGGCGCTAGCAAGCAAAGGGGCCTTCCGGATTAGGCTAGACTCATTTTCAATGCAAACTCAGCCTTGTCAGCACATCAGGGGAGGCTCTTGGAAGATGCCTCAAGAGAAGTACAATGCTCCGTTCTCATACAATCCATGCTCATCTGATGGCCTATAATGTACATCCTGACATCCTCATATCCTGCGTTGCTGTCTCATAAACCAATGGGGTATCTCATGCACCGATCCCTGTCCCAGCTGTCTCAGTCCTAGCGGTCCCCGTCCCCGTTCCCTATCCCAATGAATGCTGTACCCATGCCCTCCAAGACCGACCAATGCATCACTCCATCCATAATACAACATTTCACCATTCTATCCCTTCATCCTTGACATTCTCCAATGTTTCCAAAACTGGCAGAATCTGGGCCTCGTCATTCGCAAGAGCAGCCCTCTGTCTCGTTCGTGAGTAGAAAACAGGGCAATCCTTGCTATCACACCGTATTTCTTCATTCCACCCGAATCCCGAGCAAGAGCGACAGACCTTTGCGAGTTGCGCCGCTTTTCTCTCTGCTTTCATGAGCCTCGACCGTAGTTCTAGCATACTCTGCGAAGGTTGCTGAGAGCAAGTATCGCATAACGGGGCCGGGGCGTCTAATCGTTCGCGACAGACAAGACAAGTCGATGATTTCATGTATGACTCCAGAGTCTTTTGAGACCTCCCTCCGTTCTTTCCGTCTGTACCAAGCCCGGCGTCCACTCTCCTGATACGTTGATATTTCGGCATTTCGTCGTACCATTGACGGACATTGGCTCCCACCAGGTTGAAGATACGTTCAAGAGGTGGGATGATGTTCTTTGAAATGTAGTATTCCGCATCGAGCTCCGAGTGCGCGTCATTGAGCAAGACATCTGGCGCCACGCAACGGTCGATCAACCGCGCACCTGGTCCGCCGGTGACAACCACATAAGGTACTCGTTCCCCGTATTGAGGCTCAAGTCTTGGATCTTCCATCATTTTTCGAGCGCTAATAAGTGCACCAGGAGGTGGGGGTTTTTTATCACTGTAAGTCCCGAGCCTGACTTCTCTAGCAAAGCAGAAATCCTGGATCGAGACCCTCCCTTGCATGATTTTGGCACATTGAGCCTGGAAGAAGGCCTTGACTTGACTTAGGTCAGAGGTACGGAATAGCAGTTTCAATGCGGTCTCCTCAATCTTCTGTTCGGCTGGCGTGCCGTCTCGGCGGACAGTCTCGATTCCCTTGGCATCAAAGTCCGGTACAGTCTGCTTTCGGCTTTCGTACTTGAACCCAACGTATCTTTTCTTCGCAAGCAAAACGCATGGATGATAGACCTTCTCGAACTTCAACTTGACCGGTCTAGGATTCATCTTCGTAATTGTGTCGGCAATCTCTTCACCTATGTCGAATGCTTGCTCTCTTGTCCGGCCTTTGAGGTAGACAAAGAGGCTGTCGGTATCGCCATAGACTACTTCCGCACCCCATCGCTCAACCGAGTGAATCAGGGCAATGGCCTTTTCGAGCGTTTCACGACCCGTCTGTACGATGCTGTCCGCGATCTCAGAGCATGGCATTCTTCCTGAGAATGACGCTGATGTATAGCCGTATGTGACATTAGCTATAAGCTTGAGGGCAAGTTGTCTGTTATTCAACAGCCTCTGCAACATCTTGTCGTCCGTATCGACCTTCATGCCACTCTTGACCATGACCCTTGTCTCGAGGATCTCGCTCAGCATTTTTGCCAGC